CTAAACATGTTTGTATTTTACAGTGACTGTGCTTTGGGTGAAAAATTATAACGGAAATAAATGTTTTTTTTTTGTTTGCTTTTTAACTAAAAAGACCAGGTACACCAACATCATATTAGGCAGATGCTCATAATGTTTTGGCTCATCTGTGTACACTATAATACATTATCTTGTATATGTTGAAATATGGCCGAGACATGCAGGCTTAATAAGATTTTATCACATACATTTACTCAAATTTACTTTACCTAATATATTTTAGGAATCCTAATCACACAAATGTGTCATTTTATGTATTTTCTCACTTTTAATTTTTTAACTGTAGCTTTAATCCATGTACACTGAGTACTCTAGCTTTAGTCTGCTGTCTATTGCCTACGAACAAATTCTGTCCGATAAAGTGTCATATTTGTTTTTGAGAAAGCAAATCAATTCCTTACAATATAGTTTGGTATTAGCATGTGTTGCTAAGCTAACAATACAATGCAGAAACAAAAATATGTAACACACATCACATACTGCAAAACAATTTCAAAATATGGCCAATTCACTTTTAAACCAAATCAGCAGATAGTAATGTGTTATCCATTGTTTGTTTGGAAATGCATACCGTGAAATCTCTGCTACATGTATGCTATAGCAGAAAGGAGATGCAACACTTTCCGTCGCCGTGGTAAGAGCATGATTGCAGATAACAGACCCTCTGCACAAACAGTCGGGGAGGAAAAAAGACTGAGCTAAAGATCCTGCTGTTGAAATAACAATCAAATGTCAGCATGACCGTGGAGGACGTGCTGTTAAGAGTCGGGGTCGCTGACAAGTGCATGCATGCCGTCGAGGTTGCATATGAGCTGCCTAAGGCGAATTGCTTCAACCTTTAGCATTCTCTACCCACAACCACCCACCACTGGCAGTGAAGTACAGATCAACACTTAGGAAGGCAAGAACGCCGACTGTTAAATAAGAGTCCACAACGAAGTGGTGATCTTAAATGGAAGAGTTGGCATCAAAAGAATTGCCATTTTAATGCAGCTTGAGGTCAAACTGAGGAGGGTCATGCAAATGTCTGCAGATGCAAAACTGAAGGAAGGATGAAGAAGGCATATTTAAATTATTGGCATACATAATGGACCATGACTCAAGTGCCTCAATTTTATATTGTAATTCCTCAATCGATTGCACCATAGTGTCCTCACTGTGAGTGTCCACATTACTGTGGCGTTTCCACTCAGCCTGATGATGGGCAGTTCACTCAAGTGTTTCAATGTCACGGCCTGGTCAGCAGATTTCTCTCTGTCCTTGTTGTCTCCTCGGAAGCTGTCAAACTAGTAGGATACAACTGTTAGAATCACATAAAGGGCATTGGAGATGGTCTAAATCATAGTAGGCTGCCTATATAGACGGCATCCAAGCTGAAAGAGAATTTCTCTCGACTTGTCAGCCATCTTGGATAAATACAATGCATTCTGGGATTGTTTTTTTTTTTTTTCCTGGAGAGATACAAGTAGCTTTAGATTTAGGCTAAAATGTTGCTGATTACCATTTGGAACAAACCTTTTGTCTGTAACGTACCTTTGACGCCTGTAAGAGCTCAATAGTTTTTGGAACTGAGCCCCATACAGTACCTACAATATAACATCATGTTCGGTGGCCAAAGATAACACAGGAATTTCAATTGGATTGGTTGTGCTCTAGGATGTTTACACATTTGTGTTGTATACCATGCAGTTTACCATTTAAAAAAAACCAACATTTTAGATCAGTTGATGATCTGTGGTGTGGAAAGCAGTCGAAGCATCCAAGTTCAAACACACAGTTCAAATCAAAGGTTCTCACATTGAGGACGGTATGTGAGATACGGTTGCCTACATCAATCCTTCGTTTGATGTTCTGTGGAAAATCCCCATACGACATCTGCAAGAGTCCTCTACGAGGTCATAACACAGAAAACAACAAACCAACAGAGAGAACGAGAAGGTGGGTAAAGCCGATGGGCAAATCCTAATCAGCCGAAAGCATAACAGCAGTGATACAGGAAATCAAGGGATGAAACAGGAAATCTATTATCCATAAGCCGTTTGAAATCTGTCTCTGTCGATGAACCTCAGTCCCAGATGGAAACTCTGTGTTCTTTAGAGTTTCCTGAAGCAGAAAAACACCTTGAGCTTGTGCTATGAAAAGCTCAACCAAGGTAAGGCAACATTAAGTCCCGCCTTTCTCCTTCCCCAGCCTTTGACCTTGCCAATAAATTTACAATTCCCTGGGTGTTTAGCATCTAAATGAGGCACACTTTGGTGGAACAGTTTGCAGAAGTCTTGAAGGGAACATAAAAGAATGGAACAGCAAAGACTTGAAAAAAATCACTCTTGCTTGAGCCCTTCATACACGTTAAGATTTCCCTGGTCCGGAAGACTTCCCAATTACAATTACAGTTTTACCTTTCATATAAACTGTGAATTTCCTTGGAAAAATTCAGGTCTCAGACTGGGAACAAACTTACCATGACAGCAAGGAGTTTTCAAACATCCCACCACAGCAAGATTGCATTACGTGTGCAAATACAGGTCTTACTGAACAGAGAAAAAAACACATGAATAATGCAACCGGCTCACTGCACCTGGAGGAATAACAATGAGCTTCCTACTTTTCTGCAGTTATGATCCTTATTAGAAGTCCAAATGGCTGTCATAGAGCTTAATCTGTAAAATACACATACTTTACATGCATATATAAGCTCCATTTACATTTCAAGACTACTGAAGAATATACACAACTTGGTTTGTTGGCATATCCAGCCTGTTAACCTGCACTGAATAAAGGGAAATTGGTTCCATACAGACATGAGTTAACCTTTCGAGAAAGGAACGCAATGAGCTGTTGAATCAAAATGTTGCTGGAAATGTTTATTAGACAGGAAGTCATTAGAATGTAAATGTGTTAGGTGCTTTCTCAACCTCATTTTCCCTACGCTCACAAAATACATAAATATTTGACATTTATCATCTTAATTTGCTGTTCAAACATTCAAAGCTGTAAATTTGTTATAGCTACACTTCTTCGGTTAAAAACATGTTATGTACAATAGACAAGATATTGCATTTGGCATAATTACAACAATTTTGTTATTTAATTTACAGTTTTCGCAATAACTGATTTTTGTGAATGCCATCATCATCATCATCATCTGGCTTTCAGAACAAATCCGAGTCTCATAAAATGTGACCGTAAAAAGGAGAAAATAAAAATCATACTCCAGTTAATTTAAGAATTAATAAGAAAGAGGACATTGTACTGCGTTAGACGATCACATTTTCCACTAAAACAAAACAATAGCTGGTCTCTCCACTTCCATATTCGCTGGGATTTCATTTGCAGGGCCATACAGAATTGTAAACTTGGCAACATTTGGACAGCAAATGAAATTAGCATGCAAAATGCACAAACATTTCGAAACACTTCTGCAGATTTTACACTGCTGTGCACCGTGCAACTGTGTTGGAAGCGTTTATGCATGTGTAATAATCATTTTAAAAGGTTGTAGATGGTCCCTCTACCTCCATTTCGTACAGGTAAATGAAACATGAGGTCAGGGAAGGTGCAGTTCAGAGGTGCCAATCCAGATTCGACTGGAACGCATCAATTCAGATTAAAAGTGGCAGCCCTTATTGCCTGATGGCAGCTTGAGTCTCTGTAATGCCCTAGGTAGATCAAGTACCTTTTATATGAAGCTTTTTTACCAGGATATAACACTTTGTCTCACTGTCTTTCAGACAGCCAGCAGCCGTACGGTAACGCAGTGCCGTAAAGTGGTCCGGTGCACCGTTGAGTCCTTACAGTCAAGTCTATTACAATGGATGTCTAACGGTCCATTTGCATCCTAATAAAGCATCTTCGAGTTCAAGACATCCATTTTCCTTACAGCCCACCTGTTCCTTTGGCACAACACTTGGCAAAACTCCACACAAGTATATCTCCATTTACACTGCGTGGGCATGTGCACTTGTTAGGAATTATTCTGACCACCTACACAGGTTCTAATCATTCAGACCCCAAACTCCAACGTAACCTAAAGAAACCATCAATGCTTTAGGGCTCGGAAAAGCCCATATAGACTCGCCCACAACTGCGCTCCAATTACACAAATGGGACGGAGGTACTACTCTTGATTACACTCACATTAATTAGTCAATGCAAAGGTGACAGTTCATATGGTGAAAGTTTTCAGATTTGTCTAACCCATGAGAGCTCTTTGCGTGTGGATTTTCAGAGACTATGGTAACTTGGTCTTACAAAAGCAGCGACCTTTCTAAAGGCCTATTCACACCAAGTGCAAACTTTTTAAACATCTTCAGACTGCAAAGAAAACTGACCTGTCAGTGATACAAGCATTTTCTGTTTCCAGAGCCACCGCTGCACCCACACAGTTTAGCACATTTAGTTAACCGGTTTAATGCTACTGGACATAGGACTAATGTCATCTTTGTACATCTTTGTGAAATGACATACTAGTTCACGATCCCTTTGTACTACAGATATAAACACAGTTTCCTTTGAAAGTCTACTAATAAAATATGTGCATTTATAAAAAATGTGCATAAATATAAAATCGCAGGGCAGACAGAGATTTGTGTTAGCAAAAGTGTTGTTTAAATCGCCTCATGCACTATATGCCAATCTATATAAATTCCCCCACACATTATGGACTTAATTTCCAAAGCTTCAGATTCACGATGCTGTACTTTCTTTTCAAACCCCTTTAGTAATGTTCTAATATTTTACCACATATTTTCTCTCTCATTTGGTGTGAATAGGCCTTATACTCAAAGGAAAATGTAACCTTGAACATTTTGTGCTAACATCAATATAGAGGACTTCTAGCACCTTTGTCTATTTAAAAGTACAAAGTACTTTTAATTGTGCATTTGTCATTGATAAAAAGACTCTTAAGGCAAAACATGTCTTGTATCAACCACTATAAATACACATTAGCATTGATAAATCTATGGAAAATCTGAGAAAATACCATAGTACTAAGTTCTGTTTAGAGTTAATTTAGGGGCTTGGGTAATTTGACAAGCGAACTTATAATTTCGAACCTAAAAAGTGCATAAAATGCAGTCATACCCCTGCAAACGCTCTTTCACTCAATATATATTTATATATGAAAAATATTCCACAGTCTATTTATTTTATAACTGGGAGATTAGGGAATAATCGTAAACCCACAGAGGTTAAGTGTAAAAGTGCAAATGGTGGGGCTGGTGTGAGGGGCACAGCGTTAGAGCTGTGAGACTTTCCTAGGAATGGGACGGGGTCTGGGAAACTGGTCGGGTCGGCGTGGTTCAGTATTTTGTCTTCGAATCTGGTGCGGTTTGGGCGGAATGGGTGGCGCGTCAACGCTTGGAGGAATCGACAAGCTTGGTGGGAGCGGGACTTGCCTGCGGGGGTTGTTCCGCTCATGTATGCTGTAAGGAGGCGGGGTCTTGTTCTCCCGTCGAATGAGCTCGTCTGAGCCGCTGGAGGCGGAGTTTGGGAGGGCGTGGTCAGTGGGTGTGTTCTCAGTTCCAGAGGCCTCAGATACGCTACAGCGACTGAGAGATGAGATGCCGCTGCTGTAGCTTCCAGAAAGCACTGGAGAATTTGACACCAACCCTGTAGTTTGGCACTCTGTGGGCGAAGGGGTGAACGGAGGCACAGAGATCTGCAAATACAAAACACATACAGATCAACAGATCAAAAGAGAAAATATGAAGCTTTGGGCCACAATGCAGCTAGCACAAGATAAGTTACCTCTATCTAATAGCAGGAATAAAGAAATTCTTAATAACAAAGCCATCAGCTACAACAGAAGCAAAAATTCGGCCTCAAAATCAAATCGGTACACTGGAAGGCCAAAGCACAATATTCTGCAATGTTGGCTCTATTATTTTGAGGCAATACTGTCTCTTTTCATTACGAAAAAAATTTCTAAGCAATTAAATCCACAGCTAAGGCTTTAGCTGTTTCTAGGACTTAATTTCACTGAATAAGGCATATTTAAAGGGATAGTTCACCCAAAAATGAAAAGTCTGTCAGTAATTACTCACCCTCATGTTGTTCCAACCCCATAAGACTTTCGTTCATCTTCGGAACACAAATTAAGAATCAAAAATATCTTTATTTGTGCGCCGAAGATGAACGAAAGTCTTACGGGGTTGAAACAACATGAGGGTGAGTAATTACTGACAGAATTTTCATTTTTGGGTGAACTAACCCTTTAATCTGATTGCACTCTGGAGAGAACTTCAAGCACAGCATTTCCGCTAAGATAATTCAGTTTGTGCAGTTGATAATGGTGCATCTCAGTAACAGTGAGGTTGCATTACATTTTCTTTTTTGCTGAAAAAGCTACATTTCTTTGGATGACAATATATTGGTAGTATTACTGGCCAATATTAAAACTGAAAATGTGTTGGTATAATTTGATGTTAGATGTATATTGGTGAATATTGGATATTTGAATCCCTATTTTTCTTTCAAAAACACTAATTTTTTTCACTGTAAAATGCTAATCTTTAGCAAATCTCAAAATGAATATATATTTGAATACTGTACATATTAATGTTGTGATGCCTAAATTTACTCTTTTTTTTTATTTATTTTTTTAGACAAAATTGTATAGAATTTTAATATTGGCATTTTATCAGTTAGCAGCCATGATTATAAGTAATCAGCCATTTTACTATATTTCTACTGTTATCAGATTGCATACATCACCTGCTGTATAAAATTTAACTTGATGCATGTTTCATAGATTTTATACGACTACTGGAGGACATAAAATAGCCTGGACCAGCATGAACATTTGTGCTGTTTAAAGCTGGTTTTGCCAGATGTAACTGACTGTGGAATCTATATTCATGTGTTTGCCTGGTCATGCTTGTGTGTGACATGTCACATGGTATAGCTTCAGGCATGAGACTATTTCTGGGGCAAACAACCGTACACAGGTGGTCACGCAGGTTAGGCTTTCGCTTTCTGACCCGTCCCGCTGACTGCACTTCCTTTAGGAAATTCACCAGCTCTAGTGCTGAGATCTCCTCCCATCCGAAACTCGCTCTCTGCTTTGTTTTCCTGAGTAGCTTGACAGATTTCAGCATTTCCGATTTCCGGAAGGAGTAATGATTTGATTTCTATGCAGTCTTTAAATGAAAACAGAAAGAGTTTGGACTCTAGAGTTTTATTAGATGATTGGAACGCATGTGCTTTGCTGAATACTAGGTGACGAATCGATATGTGGCACGAGACGAGAATTCAAGGAAGTGGCAATGAATGCAATTGTCAACAAGATGCGATGAATGAGGCATAGTCGAGTAGGAGTTTCTGAGAAGCCATTAGAGCGGTGCTCGGCTTTAAGGGCCGTTACTTTGAATGAATGTGCGTTTATTTAAAACCTGAATACACTCACTGCAACGTAAAAGAGAAATGGCATAAAGGCACATTGATGACTGCAGCTCCAACCTTTTTCAAGGTCTATGACCCTTGTATACCCTATTATATACCCTTTGAAAGAAAAACACTGTGGTTTCTGGTACTCTGCAATATGGACACCTGAATTTTTAGTAAAGCTCAGTAATACAATAAAAGTAAAGTACAGTTGGACTGACAGCATGAGGGTAACGTTTCATATTTTCTTGAATGATGAAATGCACTATTAATAACATACAGGACACTAAAGCTGGTCAATAAGGCATCATAAAACATGCATTATACATTCTTTAAAAAATAATCATGTAAAATATGTAGATTGGATGAGAGATACAGTAGTTGTCAAAAGTGATGCCCGGAGGGGATATTTGTTTTTAATGACCCTACAAGTTCAATTAAACCATTAACATACAAGGAAAATATTTTATATTTTTTAAATAGGCCTTGGTTAAGGTATTTATCTGAATATTATTTGGCAAAATAAATCAAACTACAGCTACAGATTTTATTTTACGATGCAAAAATAAAATAAAATAAAATGCATAGAATAACAAAAAAAGCATATATTGACTACAACATAATCCGTTATTAAATGTGGCATGTTTCATTGCATTTTCACAAATGAAACATCTGACTCCATGCACAACTATACACAATATGCTTACAAAATATATTTTAATTTTTTATATTATTTGAAGAAAGGGTGAAGATGTCAATTTACCTAGGCTGGACATCACTTTTGACATCTACTGTTCTGAAGTTAGGGGAGTAAAGATATATATATATATATATATATATATATATTGTATAAATTTAGAGGTTCTTATATGTCATTGTTTAAATGAATGGTTTATGTTGCTTCAAAAAAGCCTATATGAGAAAATATCGAAAAACATTTACAGTATAGTGGATTTTTAACATTTGTGAGCATCGTATATACAATGCATGGTATAATTGTTTGGTATTGTACATAAGCTAAGTGTTGGACCCAAAAATAATGATCCAGGGAGATAAAACGGGCGAAAATTCAAAAGTTTGGGGTCAGTAAGATTTTTTTTGTTTTTGAAAGAAGTCTCTTATGCTCACTAAGGCTGCATTTATTTGTTAAAACATACAGTAAAAACAGTATATTGTGAAGTATTACAATTTAACATATCTGTTTTTAGTGTCACATGATCCTTATAAAAACATTCTAATATACTGATTTGGAGCTTGAAAACAGAAAACAGTTTCAACATTATGATAAAACAGTATTTTTTCTGGATTCTTTGATGAATAGAAATTTCAGAAGAAAAATAAATCTTTTGTAACAATAAATTGATCATAAGTGACAGGAAAGACATTTATAATGTGTACTTGCTGATTGTAATTAATTCCTGACCCCAAACTTTTGAATGGTAGTGTAAATATTGTGTTGCTTTCCACTGTTGTTACCAGAGTTCTCTGATAAACACAATCTTGCAGTAAAATGATTGTGCCACCATTGAGAAGAAAGAGTTTGAGATCGATTAGTGGATTCTGCACCGGATCACTGCCATGTACCGTGTACGTGAGCCGACCGAACTGTTCAGGACTGGAGCGAACACTCACAAACAGTGTCTCTCTGTCTAATCATGGGCCCAGTTGGATTGACTAGAGCCTGACCCAGTAGACATCCCGGATTGAGTCCCGAGACACTACAGTAAACACTGTACATCAAAAGTCAGTTCACAAAACACCCCAGACAACAAGAAAAGGTCATACCTTCTGAGGCGAGCGTGATGTCATCACAGGGGACTGTGATCGTGTAGTCTTGGCAGAAGATCCTATTAAAGGACACAAAAAGTCAATCTACTTCACTTGATACAGGAGCTTGGGACAGTAAACATGGTCATGGCTGTCTATTAATCAGGGAAACGCTTTGCCAAGGTCGGTCGGCTAATGCAAAACAGTTTAACCATTCGGTACCAGTTCTTTTCCAGGACAACACCCTCAATTACAGTCCACACCTAAAAGGGTCACTTCATACATTTTTATTATACAATTTGTTCTCTGAGGTACACTTACAATGTTAGAGAAGTTTGGAGTGCCAAAAAGAGTCATTATTTAATTGAATTTAATTTATACTAGTTATAGTTCTGAAAGTTACTTCATACTAACAACAACACTAATAATTTATTAGGTTACATTAAAACAATTTAATAAATTATAAAAGAATAAAATAAATACACTACTTATTAGGGGTGGAACGGTACACAGAAGTCACGGTTCGGTTCATACCTCGGTTCAGACATCACGGTTCGGTACGATTTCGGTACAATGGAGGGAAAAGCAAAACAAAAATGCAGAAGACATTGTATTTTTTAAATAAGTTTTATTAATAAAGGCATAGAACCAGTTTATTTGTAGTGCACTGACAATAGTTTTATATAATTAGTTTATTAATTAAATTAATAAAAAGACAAAAAGACCTTGCGATATGTTTGGTAATTGTACCTGAATTAATTTAAAATTAATTTGCTATATTTCAGATCAATATATTTGTTTTCCTTAATTTTAATTAACATTATTAATTAACAATGTAACATTATTCTCATCTGAATTATAAATAATTGATTTCTGTATAAATTAATACTACCATTAAAAACACATTCGATTTTCTTTTTTAATCAATGTAGAGTGTGTCAGATTAGTGCTCCGAGGACAAGAAATGAAGAAATGAGAAAGGACAAGAAATGAGAAAGGACAATGCAATATGATGAATGTCCAAAAGATGATGGGACCCACAGACTGTTTTGAAATAGAGTTGGATAAATATGTTTTGGTTTTAAAACAGTGTGTGTGTGTGTGTGTGTGATTTTGGTTGGGTGACAATTGTAGGTTACAGTTTGACAAAAGTTTACAGTGTGACAAAAGCACAATGTTGTGTTTTATTGCGAGTGTACACAAATATAAGTAAACACTTTGCAGGTTTAATGATCTGTATGAACAAAATGACGGAGTCTGTTTTTTATGTTTCCACTGTTCGATCGCGCCCGCGCCTCTCTCTCTCTCTCTCTCTCTCTCTCTCTCTCCTCTCTCTCTCTCTCTCTCTCTCTCTCTCTCTCTCTCCTCTCTCTCTCTCTCTCTCTCTCTCTCTCTCTCTCTCTCTCTCTCTCTCTCTCTCTCTCTCTCTCTCTCTCTCTCTCTCTCTCTCTCTCTCTCTCTCTCTCTCTCTCTCTCTCTCTCTCTCTCTCTCTCTCTCTCTCGCGCGCACACACACACACACACCACACACACTCACACACACACACACACACACACACACACTCCAGCATTCATTGCAATCTTGACATCGCAGCCTGTTCATTATGCGGTCACACCAAACGCGAATAGAGCGTCAAATTCGCGTCTATCGCGTCTAGTTCGACGCTAGTCCAAAGTGAATAGGACGCGCGTATAAAGCCAACGTTTGAAGCGAACGCGCGTTCAGAGCTAAGCCGATGGTACAGATTATGTGTCCCTAAAGAACCCGCGAATCTAACAGTAGTTCCGCAATACATTAATTAATTTGCACGCGAGTTTTATTTATTTTTATACCGTGTATTCTCCGTGTAAATTCGTGCACCGAACCGTGACGCCCGTACCGTTTCGGTTCGATACGAATACATGTACCGTTCCACCCCTACTACTTATATATAGTAAATAGTATACTATGTATAGTAAATATTATATATATATATATATATATATATATATATATATATATATATACACACAACAAAAATAGCTATAAAATATAGTAAGCATACTAGTTATAATTATAGTTCTGAAAATTACTTAATAAAAGTGTTTTATATTAAAATTAATAAAATGTAGAAGAATAAAATAAATATATAACCAATTAAATAAATAACAAAAATGACAGTAAGACAATGCAGAAAAGAGAATGGAGACCGACATTTAAAAGGTAATGAAGCAGCAAGGGTGCAGCAGATTGAGGTTTAAAAACACGTCGTGCAGTTTAAAGAAAGAAAAGCAGCGAGAAAGCTCATTAAGAATGATTATAAATAAAAGAGTGTGCGAGAAGGATCCCGCTGTTACTTTTCTCATTATCCAATGATGCGTCCGACCGGCAGCCCTCATGATACAGGGTGATGTAGAAAATAAGATTAGCAAGAAACCAGGAGACTTTAGAGCAGAAGAGTGGAAGATCTGAGAGTTAAAAGGCTCAGGAAACATCTACGTCAATCTATAGGATCGGGCGAAGCAGATGTCTTTCTTTACCTGTGTACGGTGGTCTAGGAGGAACAGGGGGGCCCTTTCCATTAAAATCAGAGAGCGGCATGTCTAGACTCCAGCTACTAGGTGCAGGCTTCACCACTTTCACACACAAAACATGCATTTCAGGTATATTCAGTCAACTCAACTCAAAATACAATGCCCAGTAGCGTTGTATGACTGACAATAGGAAATATCTAATCAGGGTTTGGCGGGACTAGGGTGTAAAAGCATGGACACTGTCCCACTACACTAATTAGACTGTCTCAACAACAGGAAATATGCCAACTGAGGAAAGAAAATTGTGTTTGTTCTATCTTTAACAGCTATTTTTAATGTCTTACACAGAACAACATATCCAAATATTCAATATCCAAACCCTTTCAGACCTTTTTTCCCTCTAAAATTAAACAAATTTAAAGGGATAGTTAACCCAAAAATGAAAATTCTGTCATTATTTACTCACCCTCAGGTTGTTCCAAACTTGTATGAGTTTCTTTCTTTCTTCTCTCTTCTCTTCCCAACACAAAAGAAGATATTTTGAAGAATGTCGGTAATCAGACAGTTGACGTCAGCCATTGACTTCCATAGCATTATTTTTCCTATGGAAGTCAATGGCTACCGTTTGATGACCAACATTCTTTCAAATATCTTCTTTTGTGTTCAACAGAAGAAAGAAACTAGGTTTGGAACAACATGAGGTTGTGTAAATGATGACAAAATGTTCATTTATGGGTAACCTATCCCTTTAATATTGCAATAGCTCACTGGGCAATTTTTGGGAATGATCAAATCCTCTCAAATGAAGCAGTAACATCAAAAACACCATGTATATATACATTTTGAAAAAAAAAAAAAAAAAAATCACAGGAAGGAAAAACTAAAAGTTGTCAATGTGCCCACTGCCAGTTAACCGTATAGATTTAAATAACTTGGGTGAACAGATGATGAAACCTCCTCAACATCTCTCCCTGTCAATCAGAATAAGCATAAGTCTGTTTGTGAAGCTCTTTGGTGGTCCAGTCACAGCTGTCACAACACACAGGAGCGGTTAGCTGTCGGTTAGCATCAGATCTCGCGCGCTGACCGCGAGACCCCCGCCGTTTCAGACCACCTTCCTCACAGCAGGACGACAGACTGAAGATTCATACGCTCACATGCACATGCTCACCTTTGTCAGGGGTAGAGATGTTGGGGTCACTGCGAGGCAAGGAGGCATCGCCCGCTGGGTGTGGGACCGGCCTCTGTGAAGGACATTCACATCAGTGCGGTTGAGATTTCAGTTCAGTGATTACTGTAGGTTACTAAAGGTTTGCTATAGGCTATTGGTTTACAATGAAAATATCCGTTACATTGCTTTCTTGTTTCTATTTTACATAAATTATATATATATATATACTTTTGCGATCATTATTTGCCACTTTATTCAAAAGACTGGATTTAAACTTGAGCATTTGAATAGTGTGATGACAAGAACGGAAATGTACAGAACAGTAAAAAAAAAAAAATGCATTCTGGGAAAATCTTCTTCCACCCTGGTGGCCGTGGTTAAATATGAATAAATATATAAACCAAACACAAACTTCTATAGGTGGCATAACAATAAAACAGAGATGTGTTAGACATCAACGTTCATAATAGATACGATTGTGAAAGCTTCTTACCCAGTATATGCTTCATTTATGATGATTTTACATTAGTATGTAATTTATCTCCCTATTAAAATGTACTGATATGAGTATGAGAAATGAGTCTTCTGCATAGATACTTTACCTCACTTCTCGTTTCTTGACAAATAATATTCCTGAGACACATTAACAAAACCAGTTTCATCTAGTCGTTTTTCAAGATGTGGTAAACGCAAATCTTACAATGAAGAAGGCTAAGAGAAGTAAACCCACCAATACACATCAACCGAAGACTGTTTGGCATCTGAGGAATATTAAAAACACTGATACTATAATCATCTTCATACCTGTGTGGGATCCAGGGGGTTTGGATATATGGCGCTGCAGGGTCTCTCTCTCGGCGAGAGGCAGTTCTCTCGGGAATGCTTTTGTTTATCTGACAACTGTGGAGAACCTGCGAAGGGTGAGGAGGTGTAAGCAGGGGTGTGATTTCAGTAACAAACCAATATGAATGCTCAAATATGTGCCCCCACACACACATAAAAAAGACATAGATCTTGCTCTCATTTCTTTGCTAACCAGCCAGCACATGAAATAAAGGCTCCTCCTCGTCTCTCCCTCCTGCTAGGGCGAGAATTGTGCTGTTGGGGTGACAGACGGCTATTTCGCGGGAAGAGATAGACTACCAGGTCTGAACCTGCACAGAACACTAACATCCTCCTCCAGCACAGGACAGAAGGCCACGGCTCCCTTATGATAGCTATCATCAGTCTAGAGTTCTTCAAGCAGCGTTTTATGCCTTCTGTAATTCTACAGGAGCGCCTCCTGTCTGCCGCTGCTTTATGGGGGTCTCTATGCAAGGCAAGAAGGGCTGCCAAGGGGAGACTATAAGATTACATAAATGTCTCCATACATATTCCCATTTTTATTACCTGTGTCCGCAAGTAAACACATGCTGGATGGAGGGAGATAAGTGGCCGAGGAAGAGCGGAGAAGAGAGAGGATTAGAGGGTAGAGTTCTGCAATATATCAGGACACCAGCTTTCTGTATCCCACAGTAAAACAGCATTAAATGGGCCATAAACTTCACTTCTGTAGCATTTTATTTTTAACTCAGAAATCTGTTTATTATGGAGGCCTGTTTCTGAATCAGAGTAAAAAAAAAAAAAAAAAAAAAAAAAAAAAAAAGGTAATTTTAAGAAAATGCTTACAATAAGAGTCAAAATTGCAATTACAACAAATCATAATTTACCAGGATTGAACATACCAGGAAATAAACATAGCATAAATAACATACCAGGAAATATGAAGACTCGAGAAATATAATTACAAAAAAATAGCTAGAAATAAAGAATCAAACACAAGAAATGAAGTTGCAGAAAACCAGAAAAATAGACGCAATTAAAAGAAATGGTCCAAATAGTGTTTTTTAAAGTCGCAAATCCAATGTTGCAATGACTCTGTTATGAGAAATGTACATGTACAAGTACATCTACTTAATTATTATTACTCAGTACTTACATGTATAATGTAACACTGTAACACAGACACCTTAAAATAAAGTGTAACCAAAATTCGCAATTATAAGTCCAAAATGAGAAATAAAGTTTAAATGTTGATATGAAGTTGCAAATATGAATCACACTGTGAAATATGAAGACTCAATTATGAGAAATATACTTACAATTATGAGTCCAAATTGTAATATAATGTTACAAAAGAAGGAAATGTTGCATTATGATAAATAAAGTCTCAAATACTAGAAATAAAGTCACAATTATGATAAATAAAGTCCAAATTGTGATATAAATAGAATGTCTCAAATATGAGAAATCACAATTGCCTTTATTTTCTGGTGGAAAACGGCTTCCGTAACATATACATTTTTACTTAAGGCATTTTGCATCATAAAATTTAGTTTTAAATTTACCCTTTTTAACCCTGTCAAAAATGCTTCATGCAAGTATAAAAATAAAGAAAATGATTGGTCAGTCCACTGCAAGCACACAGTCCGTTGTACATATTTAACACGTGTTACTGTGCCGCATCAAACCTCAGCAGCTTTGCTGTAAGAACATTGGAGTATGTCTACATCAAGCTTTAATTTCAAAAGAGCAAAGGTTTGGCTTGGCTGCTCTGAGAGCGGACAGACTCTTCTCACCTCTGGCACTGGACGGAGCCGAGCTGGTCACGTTGGGAGAGGCCGAGTGATTGGAACTGAGACTTGAGGTAGACGGACTTGGCTGAAAAGAGAAGAAAACGTGAGAAACATAAGAAAGAGCTCACAGTTTTCTATACTTTGTTAACGGGTTGTAAAATAATCATTCGGTCTGGGATAAAAGAAAAAAGTTAAATAATCTGTCCATCCAGTCTATAATTCACCTACAAATCCGATTCTCCCAGTGAGAGAAAAGACAGAGCGCGACAGGAAGGATTAGGTGGGGATGTGAGGGAGACAGATGAAAACAGAAAGAGGGCAATTAGGAAAGAAAAAGAGGCAAGGAAAAAGAACTTTAGAAGAAGAAGATTAGGAGGAAATATGAAAGACAGCGAGCGAGAATAGATGTTCTGCCAGTGTGTGTGTGTGTGTGTGTATGAGACAGTGGCGGTCCTGTGCACTCACCTGCATGTTGAAGACTTCATCGGAGCTCTCTGATTGGCCCGTGATGTTGCTCACTTCATTGGACGCCTGCGATGACAGCGAGGATGAAGAGTAGCGGTTGACTGCTGGGTAGCTGAGGGGACTGAATAACATACATTAAAAACACAATGAGAATGACTTCATAACAAGTAGTATCAATTTCTGGTGAAAATTAGAGTAGAATTTCCTAGTAGATTAGTAAAGTTCTAATTATGACAGCTTAGAAAGACGTTAGTCATCAATCAGACAATATTCTGACATTATCGACATTTGCTAGTATTAATCATGATTCACTGGGTCGATTAATAGTTTCAAAATCAACATTTTCTGCTTTCAAATATTTTGAATTAATTTTATGTAAACAAAGGTTAAATTGTAAAACAGTTGTCTGTGTCATCATTATAATAAAATGTTTTATGTAAATATTATAATTAGGAGTTAAAGAAGACATCAAATCTAAATAAATTGTTTATTATTACATTTTTTAAATTGGCTTTTTGACATAATAAAATCATCATTATACTACAAAATATAATAAATAAAAAAAATACTCTATCAGTATTTCATTCATTCATTATAACTACTAGTACTACTAATTAATAAATGAATGAATGAACGAATAAATAAATAAAGAGGAGTCAGTGGAACAAATACTAGCATATAATACTATCCACAGCAAATGAGAAAAAAATATTCACAATATTTTTTTCCATCTCTAATTATATTACATAAGGACATTATGGCTGCTATTAGGCATTCTACTCCCTAGATATCGGCACTAACCAATGAAAAACCCCTAGTGGTTGACCCGAAAAGGGTTACACTTTATTTTGATGGTCCCCCTTTAGACATTCTGTACACTTTTGGGGAGGCGTTTGCACCTACATGTCAACTAACTCTCATTAGGGTATTAGTAAGATATTAGTAGACTGATAGGGTTCGGGTTAGTAGAATACGTTGATATGGACTTGGAAAATTACCATTAAGACTCTAATGAGAGTTAATTGACGTAGGTGTAATGTTACTTTTAATCAACAGAATGTCTAAAGGGGGACATCAAAATAAAGTGTAACCCTGAAAAGAGTTTCTCACCTGCGGCGTGACACCACACGCGCTCCTCCCTCTGGACTCATTATATTGGGCGCTGAGTTTCTTCCAGCTCGAGGGCTTCCGTTGGTGAAGTGGATCGGGCTGGCTCGCACATAGGCTGGAAATTCCTTTAGGCCGTGGGAAAGAGAGAAAGATGAGCGCACAAGGAACGGCTTGGGAATCCGACTGTAGGAACTCTGATTTGTACCTGTATGCCGAGGCTAGATTTCATGAGATGAAACTGATCCACCAGTTTCTTGTGCAGGGGCCGCATGTCCTGAGGTACAAACTTCTCATGCACTGTCAAACCAAACTCCAGTATGTGAGCCTGATGGAGGAACGATGAGGCTTTAAAGACAATAGTACTCACAATGCATTTAACCTCCGTAATGTGACGCATTTCAGTAAAACAGAATATTTAGTGCTGAATAATGTAGGGAGGAGACTTGACTTGATCTATTAATGGCTAATTTTTTCCCTGCCCATGCACTTGGGCTTCAAACATCAGCAGGACAGTAAAAGTCGGTTAATTTTTATTGAAAACTATAAAAATGTTTTACGTTCTTTAAAATAACATACTGACGAATCAAGAGCAATAAGGTGAAAGACATTTATTAAAGAAGCAAACAGCATCCATTCTTCTTGCACGTTGTCTTTAAACCTGCTTGCTTCATAATTAAATGATCAGCAAAATATTTTTCCCCCTTCAGTCTTTAAAAGTTCACTTTCATGCTTGTAACTGGCTTATATCCATGGTTACTGTCTAGACATCAGCATCATGTGCTTGGCTCTGGAGAGTTTCTGGTTACTTAGCAGCACGGGCATGTAGGGAAGAAGTGAGACCTACAGAAACCGAGCTTGTGTAGAACGTAACGGCTAAATCCCAAACATGAGTGGAGAAATGATGACAATGAAACATCATAAATGTGTGTGAAATCAGGTGTAGATTAGATTTGGTTTCTTGAGACAAACCTGCTCAAACATGAGCTCTCGGAGACGACCAATTTTGTCTCCATCTTCGGGGTGATTCATGATGTAGTCCTTCACGAAGAACGCCTGTGAGAAACACAAAATTGCACTGTTTAACCATAATGCATTGTGCCTCACCAGCCTCCACATATTTTGTGGTGTGAGTTACATTTACCTTGACAACTTCAGCAAACAATATCATGCATAGTTTCACCGATTAGTCAAATTATAACTTGATTAACTGCAACCAAATAAAGTGCAAAAATATGAGCTTAAAAACATGCATGTCTTCAGATCTTCTAAGGAAAAGGGGGGAAGGAGAGAGAACTGACGGTGTATCTGTGTCCGATCTGTTCCAAGGAAGATGTGCTGGTATCTCCAAAGAGACAGTGGGAGAGCAGAAGCTTCAGGAGGGAAACTCTCAGACTTCAAAGATTCCACCATGCAGATTTTCCCATTGCCATGAACATGACATTTGCCCTTAAGGCCAGGGAACGCTACCGGCAGATGCACAATTTAATTGCAGATGCACGCTATGCCTGCCGATCACTGAAGGAGTTCACACTGACAGTGATTTTTAGCGACAAAGGGACCAGCATATTTGAGCTATGGGATCTTTTGAGAAATGTCTGTGAGTTTTTAGGAAGGGAATGAAATAAAATAAAAATAAAAAATTAAATTAAAAAAGGCTTACAAAAGCCAGGCATACACAGTATGATTTTTGATGTCGTACGAGCTTGGAGGCGATTTTTTTTTCTCTGGAGAAATCGCGTGGAAATCGTTGATGCTCGTATGGTCACGGCTCGCATTGTGTAAGAGAAATTACGAGCCGAGCAAGATCATTTTTATACAAATTTATACAGGGAGTCAGCCCAGTTTTGACCAGTGCATGGGCTGTTGCCTATTGCCAAATCATACACAATCATGTCACATACGCTAGATCCATGACTATTATTACAGCCCATGTGGCTGCAACCACAACATGTGCATATACAGACATACACAAATACACATCCGAAGCTAAAGCAGCAATATTGAAAGTGCCAGTCTGTTTAGCGCGAAAGCTCATGCAATTGTAACCGGTCGTCCTCTACCCGCTCTGAGCAGGATTCGAACCTGCACCTTCAGAGTGGGAGGCGGGCATGCTAACAAGGACAGGAAAGACCGCAGCCTCTAGCATCAGTCGCTAACGCACCTCTTGAGGCCAGAGGAGTGAGGTTTACACGCACAGCACTTACTGGCCTACATTACACTCACCCCCCTAAAGCTCGCTCCCATCCGGGTCACGGCACCAACTAATCGACCCGCTTCTAGAGGGATTCGAACCGTGGTCTCCGGCGGGAGGTGGGCGCGCTAACAAGGACACTAAAGACCGCAGCCTTTAGAGTCGGTTGCTAGCTTGCCTCTTGAGACCAGAGGAGTGAGGTTTACACCCACATCACTTACTGGCCTACGTTACACGATTGCCGCCGGCTTGCCGTGCAGTACAGCCGTGCCATGTACCAGCTGCTTTGACACGATTACCATGTTAACTGGCTCACAACATGTGCAATGGCTCACGACCTCCCGAGTATCCGAAATTGCACAGTGTACGCCCACAACAACACAAAATTTAACACAAATTCCTCTCTGAACTTAACACCGACCAAACGCTATGAGAAGATTTAATTTTGGCTGCCTGCTATGCCTGCAGATCGCCAGTAGACAAACACCAGTTGAATTTGATGAGCTCAGGAGCAATTACAGCTGTACTTGTGAATTCTTTTGCGATAATTTAAGGAATGGGATATACATACCTCTGCCTTACTAAAACAAATCTTTCCTTTAACTTCTAAAGAAGACGCAGATGTCAAGAAGGTTTTAAAAAACCGGTAGGGGATGAGCCAATTAAGAGCTAGATCTTGTAATTGAGAGGCATTTAGAGTGGAATTTTCTTGAGGGCTGACCTTAAAGTGCAGAAAAGCAAGCAAATATTAATGCCAACAGCTGGAACGCTCAATAAACAATTAATTGGTAATTCTGTCATGTTTGCGATCCAAATACATTAACTGCTGCTCATCCCATGACCCTTTACCTCAGGACACTCGGCGAGGGCAGTATCTGAACAGCCTACATGAAAAGAATTTAATGCAAACGTACTTTCTGGAACAAGTACTAACACAAACCTTGCATGTATACAGTTGACAATCTTCTTTATAGCTGCTCTACAAGTCTATCAAGGTAAAAACTGCAGTGACACTAAAGCGAGGTTGCTATGCAACAAGCATTCATACAATCTGGAAAGATCTGTTGTATTCGCACAGCATATGACTTCTTTGAGATTATATAGATTTTTTTCCAGGGTTTCACAAGGGGAATGAATCTTTTTTCAATGCTGCTGTTTCTGTAGTTATGGCTAAGATATTCCCTTTCGGACACGCTAAACTCTTAAGGTATTCCAGAATTCCCTTCGGCCATCCGAAGGCTCTGTGTTCTCTGACAGAGGACATAACTCCGAGAGAATACATATAACATACAGTGAATTAGTGCAATATAACCGAAATTACAAGAAAACAAACCTCCTGATAGCGAGCGAGACCTCCGTTGACTGCGGCGTCGATGACTCCGTTGAGACACATGGTCAAGGGGTTGATGTTCTGCATCTGCCGTGTTTGACACTGCGTAATCAACATCCGCAACTGCAGGTTCTTGTTCTCGATGACCTCAATAGCGTTCTCTAGCGGACTCACCTCCACCTGTGGCCAAAAAAACCCCAGGGAAGTTCACCAACAAGCCAAGACACATTGGTTGAAAAAAAAAAACTTTCATTCAATGTTTGGAGAACATTGGAAGAGCAACAAATTCATTTTGTACGGCTGAAACATACTCTGCTCAAGCATGGGAGTGTAAAAGCTTCTAGTTTAAAAAAATTATTGTGAGTTTTATTGATTTCCTTTTTTAAATTCAGTAATACGCAGAACCAATTTTTCCATTGGCTTTTTGACACACTACCATTCAAAAGTAATATATACTTTTTTAATGAAGCTAATAGTTTCGGCAAGGATGCATTAAATTTACTCCACCACTATACAATATATCAAAAGAAACAACAGAGCCTCTGCTTTAAACAAAGAAATATATATTTTATTCTAGCTTCATGCATTCTTTTTTATCAAAACTTAAATGTGGGTAAGTATCATAAAAATCAATGATGCATTTTTATTATGGTGCAGATTATTATTATTATTATAGATTAGTAGAAGTAGTAGTAGTAGTAGTAGTGCCATTATTTTAATGAGTCATTTTGTGATCTAATTAAATAAGTTTATTTTGCAATACATTAAGTTAAGGTTCTGCTTAGTGACCCACCAAATGGTGTCATTTATTGGTAGAACCATTAATTAATTAAGTTCAAAAGTGTGAATATTGATAAAAAGTCAAACAATTAATAGTCTATGTCTACTTTGAAGGTAACTACCAGCTCACCAGTGTATTGAGTTTTTCTACCAAGAACGCACAATAAGTACATACTACAAGACCACACACACACAATCCATTGGCTAAGCATTTGAGTATTTGCCAGAGTTTGTCTCTGACCTAAAGCGGTGAGTGTGAGAACCATACAAAAGGAAAAGTTTAATGGGAGATCTCCTTACCAGTTCCCTCTTCTCCACTTCAAACCAGCGGGAGATGCCTGGGAGACTCTGCACAAGCGTTAATGTCGTTCTTTCTACCCACAGGCTCTGAAATTCAAAAGCAAACGCTCATTGACACACATCAGAGTTCAAACCCGTCAGAGAAAGTCCAAGAGATCCCATAAGGCAAAGCGGCTACAACATATTCCAAGGAATGAGTGACTTTCCTCCTTCAGTATGTATAATACATATCATTTAATCTACACTTTAAACAGCTCATTCTCAGGAACATAGTCTGCTTATCAACCCACACTGCTCCACATATTAAATTTCACATTCATAAATTCATTTCCCATCCAGCACAGCCTGAGAATTAACGTGAGCTGGCGCATGTATAACGGAGGAAGCTCTGTAAGAAGTTCAGATGCTTGATTGTGATATTCAAAACCACCTCAGTCCAATATAATCGTATCATCTGGATAGTGTCTCAGCCGAAGTTTTCCTCTAAATGAGATTTTCAGACATTATTACTGGGCGGTAAGTGGACCGGGGTGGTGAGTACCCCCGGTGTCTCTGAAAATATAATATCTGGCAGGCTAAACAGTTTATTTCAAACACGGTAACCACCGGAGGTTGGGGAGATCTAACACTGCGGTGGATCGAATCCACAGCGAGGCTGTGATTGTCTGGGCTGGATATATTGAGTGAGAGGGGAAGGGAAATGATATTTGGAAGGAGCGGGTCTCTCAGCTCCTAAAACTTTAATTAGCCTCTCTGGACCGAGGCTGTGAATAATGCAGCATGTGAGAGAACACCTGAGCTCTACACACACACACACACACACACACAATGGCCGCCAGACACTAGAAGTGAAGGAATGAATACACAAGAGAGAAGAGGAAGAGTGAAACGCAAGAGACGAGAACAAAAAGACGGAGTAGTCCACCCCAGAATGAAATAATCGCACACTATTTACTCACCCTCATGACTTTTTTTCTACCATCCACGCATTTTGAACGTAATGGTCATTTTTGCTCATGCATTTACAATGAACTTAGACAGGACCATTCGAGCTTCTAATGGACGGGACCATAAAAGTGGTTCATGTGACGATTTGTGCACTAAATTACAAAAACTAAAAAGTCAAAAAATAGCTTTGTGTAAAAATCAGATTGAAATTTAAGTTGTTATTCGCTGAATCTATTTGCAAGCGGGCCACATTTCCTTGGTACATTCATGAGAGTTCATGTAGTGATGTAAAAAAATTAATGATCCAGTTCTCGAGTTCAACTCTCTGATTCAACAATCAGTTTGCTGCAGTTCACTAGAGGTCTGTTTATCACACAAAGCTCTTATATGACTTCAGAACAATTGGAATATAGTCATATGAGCAACTTTAATGGTACCTTTAAGGTGGTTTTGTATCTTATTTCGAAGCTTAATTAAGCATTAATGGAAACTGCATGGGAAACAGCAACCAGCACATTCTTCAAAACGTCTCCTTTTGTGTTCCACGGCAGAAAGACAGCCATACAGATTTATAATGATATAAAGGTTAATAAATGATGACAGAACTCACCTTAAACTCGTTCTCTTTGTCTTTGGTGCCCTTGTGAAACGGCCGGTCGTAGCGAAACCTCCAGATGTGGTTGACCTTATAGAAGCTCTTGATGTTGTCGGGAACGCCGTCACGCTGCAGGACGTCCTGGCTGTCTGGGATTGGTGTGACAGCATAGATTTGCAGATCTGCATGAAGGTTGGTCAAGGAACCAGCAACGTGTCGTTTGAACACAAACCCATTTGAATAACATTACTATAATGATATGATATGATATGATATGATATGATGTTTGATTTGAGATGATATACTGCATAACTTAAATGAAACGGACTTTGCTGTGGTATCACCTATTTCACACCCAGTCCAAATGCAGACCGTACAGTAGGAAATCATCCTCCACAAATGTTTAAATATCCAACATCTTGTGCCTTACAGACATGAGGTCTCATCAGCACATAAATATGAATCAAACAGGCCAGACGTCAAAGAAGGCCAATGATTAATCGATGTCTTGGATAACAAAACACTGTGCTCATGTAGTTTGACTCGCCCTGTCTGCTCTAATTGTGCTGAAGAGGACGTCACATATTCACTGAGCGTCTGGCCTACAGGTACATGTCTCATCAACTGAACAAACGCTCTCCTGTGACCCGCCGTCTCTACGCCTGATGTGTGTTCTGGGGATCGATTTTCAGCCACGTGGACGTGTTTTTAAAGTGGACAAGCTCTCGCCTTGTGCTTGTCCTGAAAAATCTTGTTGTAGTGCTTTCACTCTGACACTGTCACTGCACTCTATTACAGAGAATAGCATATTGAAAACAACTTTTGTGTATAGAAAAGTGGTTTCTACGCTGAATTTTTACTTTTATAAATTTGTAATAGTTATTATTAGTGTGCAATTAAGAATTATTACCAACATCCTCATCATGAAATCTATTATACACAAGTTTGGGTGTCACATTTGCATCCAAATGTTAATTCACCCAAAATGGAATTCAAACCCCAAAATTTCAGCATAAACTGCCTACCTAAATGATCAGGATTCTGCCAGATTTACTGAATGGAAACAGTTTGTGCACACTAAAGAGTAATACTTTGTGTTAGGGGATTGTTCAAATCCGTAACTAAGTATTTGCAATAGTAATATTGGTGACAAATTCATGCATACCGCTAAAAGTAAAATGAGTAAATCAGTTAGTATGGGCAAATGGATGTGACTAACGAGGAATTAGGACAATATCTATACAATGCAAGAGAACAACTCTGCAGGTGTAAGACTCTTTGGCATGCTAGTGTGTGAGTGATTGGGAAAGACAAGAGATATCTGGAGGATACACTGGGCTTCAGCCTGGTAGATGGTCTGGTCAGGCTGGTTGGCGTGTTGCATTGCGATGGCATGAGGGAACTCATTGAGCATGCGCTGCTGGAACGCCTCCAGACGCTCGTAGTCATGACCGCGGCACACAAACTCCTTATTCTGTACAACACACGTTCTGGTTAATACTGACACCAAGTGGACTTCAGAGTTACTGACAGTGGCGTCTAGTATACTGCAGGATGTCAGGATGACACATACCCGTAGAAAAAAGGGGAATTTCTTGCCGTAGAAGCCCACTCTGAAGAACTCTGGCTCCAGCCGCTGTTGGTCCATTATTTTATCGTAAAATGAAGCTTCCATCATCTGTGATTTGAAATTATATTATTAGCAAAAATTACCAAATTAAATTCTACACATTTGTAGCGTTTAAATCAACTGAAAGTGGAAGTTTCTTGCACAAAAAAATGTATTAAATTAATCGTGGATGATTTTCTCAGGAAATTTGAATTGAAAAAAGTTTGTTGTACCTTTAAGAGATATGCAAATAACCTAAAGTTGCCAATTGATATGTAAATGTGGGTGGTCTTATGTTAACGAGACTGCTTTCCATGATATGACCCCTTTAAGAACTGGCAAAATGCAAAGAACTGTCATATCACATAAAGAGTTGTAACTCACCCTCATTTTGCTGAGGTTTCTGTAGTCGTAGTAGGATTCGTACTGGTCCGCTAACTCTCTGCACAGGATGATGCCATTCTCCCAACACTGAGGGGGTAGAGAGGTGAACTTCAATTCACATGCAGTTTGATAATTCAACAGTAGGAGAATTATCTCCTACTTATTCTCTTCAAGTGATTAAGTGATTGGGGTACCACTTAGTCATAAGGGATATCTACTCGGAATACAAATCACCCTTGATAATTTGATAGTGGGCTGAGAGGAGCCACGTGAGGAGAAACCAAAGGGGCCTGGAAACTGGAAACGTGAAACGAAAACAGGGAGACAGCAGAAAATTCAGACCTTTCCACGGTCGAAGTTCTGGATGATGGTGAGATGCAGGTACTCCTTCCTCTGCCACTCGCTCTGCATAGGGTAACTCAGAAACTCCCGCAGTGGTCTCTCGGACCATTCCAGCAGCTCGTCGTACAGCAGAAGTGTATACGAGGCCTCTGCACACACATAAATACGTCATGAAAATATATACGATAACCATAGCCTCAAACTACAGGCCTCCACACTAACATTTGAGAGCAGTGGCACCGGTGTCATCCAGTTCTACAGATGGAAGCGCTGAGGTGAGCGAGTTGTTAATCACAAAGGCAATTTAATCATAAATTACTATTGATTTGCATTAATAAGTGCAGTTACTAATAATGTTAAGTTTAAGCACTGAGCTTAAGTTGAGATGCAGATAAAAAATTTAACAACAACAACATTTTTGTATTCTACTCTTATTAAATGTACCATTGTTGTTCTATAGTATCATACTGCACTTCAGTTATTATAAAAGGAGTGCTCCTTACTTGCTTTCTGTGTAATCCTTTGCAATTTGAAGAACTTGTTTTTCGTGACACTTCTTGACTTTTCATACTTCAGTACAAAAAGTGTCAAACTTTGACAAAAATGTATTTCTTGATGATTTGTTTTATTATAGGGATTTAATAATATATAAATTAAAAACTATTAGGGAGTGGAAATGGCTAACAAGTCAATAAGTGCTCCTCTGCTACCATCTACCGGTTATAGTGGCAATTTATAAATGTATTAATTTCAAATAAGTGTTTGTTTGCCTCGTGTTAGTTTTCCTACATCTTAAAACTTTTAGATTTAGAAATGGGGACCATCTTTGATAGATGAACAAATAATGTTTTGGATTTTTGGATTGGATAATATTTAGAGCTTTGAAGTGCTGGAAAAAAGTGTGAAGCACTTGAAAGTCCTTGAAAAGTGCTTGAATTTCACTCTCAAAAGGTTGTACGAACCCTGAAATTAATAATGTAAAAACATTCGACTTTTTCTGCCACAAACCCATGGTTACAGTTAGCGTTACTACATTAAATCCATGGTGAATGTTGATGATTTGTGGACTGAAAAGCCTCATAGCACAATGTTTCTCCTGGTTTCATGTCAGCGCTGTTTGATCTTATAATTGTCTATTATTGGTTTGAGCTGATAAACGATCCGAGCAGCACAGCTCAAACGAGCAGCACAGTTTTGTTCTGTGGGCCCTGAACTACATCTCAAGTACCTGTGTAATTCTGCGCTTTCAGATGCAGGTCATACAGCTTGTGAATGTAGCGGATGTACATTTCCTCTTTATTCAGCTCCGTTTTGTAGAAGTTCTGCAGAAAAGAGACAAAGAGTGGTGGAGTGTGGATATGAAGTGCTTTAAAGTGCTTTTTTCAGCACCAATTTTAAGTTTCGTTCTGGTTACTATGAACGGATTCAAACGGCTAAACCAAGGAGACTTGGAGAAGAGCAGCAGAATGCAGGAAATCACTTCAGCACTAGGCCGTCCACAGTACAGCCCTCAGCAGTGAAAAGACTTTAGTGTTTCCGCCATGAATTAAAGTGCTAAATCACTTCCCTTGTTAACACTCCAGTCTTGAACTAAGCACCAAACTGACACTATTCACAAAACAGACCACCAGCTTGTGTAAACCGACAGGTGCAGGGTGAATAATACTGACATGAAGTGACAAAGAATGGCACAAAAGATTATTTTAAAAAAAAAAAACATACCAGGAGACTGACTGTGCAGCCAATTTTTTTCCCATCCACTTCTCCCAACTTCATACAGTCTCTGTAAAACAGAAAGAGTGTAATTTGTATCCATATGCCAAAAGTAGTGACTAGGGTAAAAATGCATCATCATTTCTGCAAAAATGCAATGAAGAATTTAATCATTTTTAAGGTTAGGTCGAATTTTTTTTCCACAAATATAGAGTTAAGAAGTCAATATATTTCGAGCACTGATATGCGTTTCCACAAATCAACGAGCAGCATATTCGTTTTGTCTGGCTACAGTCTCCTACTGCTGTGTTTCTGTGTGCATCTGCTCCGTGTCACCTGTAGTCCAGCAGTCGCTCCATCAGCCGTGTGACCGTGGCTATGAGGGATATCCCGCTCTCTCTCCACGTCTCCCTTTCAATCTTCTTCAACAGACTGACAGAGAAAACAAACAAAGCAGACAACGAGTCATACAGCTGCCCACCATATGACCCATCATGCCCTGCACGCTCTCACAGACACACAGCTGTCCAGTAGAACAGTGATTACTGATCACCTTACCTAGGATATGGACCGAACAGAGGAATTCTAGTCCAGAGCAGCATAAACAAAACAAATTCATATTAATAGATTAATGTCAACAACAGCCGCTCAGACTCAGTTAGTACAGTTAGTTAGTTAGTATGGTTAGTAGAAAGCAGAAAAATTAAAAAGTGTTTGATTTTCGATTTTTACACCAATTATCATGATATGCATGAAAGTGTCCCTTCACGAACAAAAAACATGAGATATATCTTACATATTTTTATTCAAAAATGGAAGATTGCAGAATTGCAACTTTAAACACCAAAAAAAAAAAAACATTTTACCACCACTACCATAATCTACAATGAAATCTGACCTTATACAATGTTAAAAATGTGCATAAATTTGAATTCAGATGAAGGGGAGCAAACACTTTTTCACGGCCGCACACAAACCCAAACACACAGCCAGAAAAAACACACAGGAACACAATAACAGGTTGGTCCACTCACTATCACACAGATGAGTGAGATCTGACCTGCATAAATATTTACCGTCTCATCGCTTTGCTAACATTAAACTAAAGTTCAGCCCACAAAGGACTGCACCTTCTTATCAGTTTATTTGTGTATGTGTCCTCTCACTCACATGCTGTTGAAGAGCTCTCTGTACGTTTCATCTCCTTTTCCCTCTGACAAGAGGCTGTCCAGCTTGTCGATAAGTTTTGCCTCCACCTATTACAAATAAAAATGATGTCAAATATATTTCACATGCTCTGGAATCAGATAATTGCATGTCCTATAAGTGACCAGAAGGGGGCGCTGGGTGACCTGTTTGAAGTTGCCGCTTCTGCGCTGTTCCCAGTCCATCATGTCGTGAAAGATCGGGATCATCACGTTCCTCAGGTCCGGCTGAGGCACCAGCGTCACCTCCAGGAACGGGCCGATCATTGCCGGGATGAAGTTCAGCTTGTGTTCTCCTGCAAGACAAGAAACTTTCGTCTCCCGTACGAGGAGGAGTAAAGCTTTCGGACAACTGGGAATGTCCTACCTAAATTCTGCCACATGCTGAAAATCTCACATCCCATCATGACACGCATGTCTCCGTACCTAAACACAAACAAAGCGCAAAATGCTGTTTAAATAAGCCATCCTATGTCAGTTTAGTGTTCGAAATATAACTGAGACATTTGAAGAATGTCAGGTCGACTTCCTGAAGAACGTAAACACTGTAGCCACATCTGAAACACATACTGTCCGAGTATGTACTGCATTTGATGAAGAACCAGCAATGAAATACGCAAATAAAAATTGTAAATGACACAAACTAAAACGAAAAAATTCAAACCCATAATAGCCTTATAAATTCAGACATACTATTAATTTGACGTACGACTTTTGGCATACTATATAGTAGAGAAGTATGACAATTCAGAGGGGTTGCAGGCACTCACTTTTCCAGTATTTTCTTCCTCTTTGATGCAGAGAAGGTCTCGAGCTGAAGGCAGGGCTGGTTGATGAAGATAACAGACAGGCAGAAGTATGAATCCCACACCTATATGGAAATGGAGAGTTTAGAGGCTGCGCCACACAGAAAATAAACAGATCGACTGTGATGTTTTACTGATGAATTCAAACTGAAGCGGACGGAAGACAAACCTTGTAGTCAAACTTATCACTGAGGAAGTTTTTTCTTAAAGCATCTGACAGGTAGAGCACAGTGGTGATGATGATGCTGTAAATCAAACATGATCACAATTTCAATACTCTAAAAAGGGCCGTAACCACTACAGAGATTGAGGGGAATAAGTCCCCTCCAATAATTAGAAATGGCCAAATTGTCCCCCCAATATTTGAAATTTTTGCACTGCGGCACTCTGTATATTGTTAGGATGACAAAAATGTTGAAAAGTTACATTTTTAGTCTAGTCTGACTCAATGTCAAAATGATTGAGATGGCCAATTAAACCAAAGTAGATGGGGTTACTGTTCCCAGAAGCAGAGCGTGAATTCCAGCGTGAAGCGTCAGTTTAACGTTGAAAGAGAGTGAGGTAAGATGTAAATAGCGAAACATTCTAACTTTTACGATAGAAATGTTAACCCACCGACAGTAACATCCAGTGACGCAAACTACTCTCAACTTTTTTTCAAATATGGATGTTTTTAATTGAAAATTTATGCGATTCATGCAAGTCCTAACTCGACATACTGACATATTAGGCATACAAATTAAAGTACATGTGTGCATATTTTAATGCAAAATTATTATTTCCCAAATAGAATTAGACCTGGAATTTCCTTCACTGTTCTATTTCTTTATGCTTTCTAAAAATGTTGTCCCCCCCCCCACCCCCCAATGTTCAAGACATGGTTACGACATTGACTCTAAAAACCACCATGTAAAATTGGACGAGGAAAGAAGCCTCTAACTTGTTGGTGACGAGCCTCATGACCGCCCAGTCTTTGGGGAACATCTCTGGTCTTATCAGGATCCGAAACACAGTGAAGATATGCAAGAGAAAGTCCTGAGAGAGAGAAGAAGAGGATGTTTCACATGTTTCTTAGTGAGTAAGAAACTGTAAGTAACTGATGCCAATAAGACAAAATTTAAAATTGACTCACCCGCAGGTCGTCTTTACTGGTGAACCTCTGCAGGAGTTGCTGGTAGTGTTTGTCCTTCATATGCCTCAACAGAGCCAAAAGACACGAGACAAACTCCCCCTGAAAAAAAGACACATTCTACATATGCTATACGTAGAAAAACAAAACAAAAAAACCCCTTGACATTTATACAGAAAAATCAATAAATCCAGTATTTAAAATAATTGGAAAAAAAAATTACAGCTTGTGTAATTGTAATTTCAAAAATTGTCTTTGACAACTGGAGTCAAAAAGTTTGAGGACCACTGGTTTAGAGAGTCTGAATCCTTGATCAACCCGTTTCACACACAGCTGCAAAGTATATTATGAGACAATTAAAGTGCTTTATGACCTTGGATGCATGTGGGAGACTCCAAAACAAATTAGGAGCCTTTAAAATAGCATAATAGGGGCACTTTAATGCAACTTGTTTATATAATACGGTACTTACATTCAGAATTTTCAACATATATTTTCTCCACAATCAGCACAAAAACATCCAAAAAGCAGAATTCATGTGGGTCTAGCTGTACATTGCTCATATAAATTCATTTGCATAACACTTGTCAAAAAAAACCCATCACAGAATATTTCAAATTTCCCATATTGATTCGCATCATGAAACCTTTAATAAATCCGAGTATGTGAGAAAATGTATGAATAAACCGGAGTTGAAATGAGGTACGGCAAGGTTTGCATCCACAAAAGCCTTGGGGCGCAGGGGAATACGTCACATCTTGCAGGAATGCTGCCAGAATTCACATGCTGCTTGTGTGGAGAGACTTTGATGTGTAAAACGCTGTGACTGCTGGGCTGTAATTACCTCGCCCTCGGGGCCTGTTTCTGTCTTTTTCTGACGCTTGTTTTTTTTATTTAAAGTTCACTTTTGCTTCTATTCTTTGCAAAGCCTTCTTTTTATTTGTTTCTTCTTACCGTAACGTCTTGAACTTGGGGTCGTAGTGTAGGTCCTGCTGGCTGGGGCCGGTTAGCAACTTCCAGTATGGTCCGCAGTAACACAGCCAAAACACTCTCCACGATCAGATCGACCTCTTCGGATGCGGTCGGCTCCTGCATACACGGGCACATCTGTAAGGGCACGCCCTTGCAAGAGGTCAACGGTGATTTTATGCACACTTTCTGACAGGGTACTAATGGCAGAGAGGGTGAAGCAGTCATGAAAGGTTCAGCTGTCAGTTCAGTTTATACATGTGCAGGAGGAGACCAGTGTGGCTGATGCACATTGGTCTTTTTCTGCATGTGAGACCCGCCATTTGACTTCTTTAAGGTCAGACAGGATGTCTACATTTAGACCAGCATCAGCATTTTCACAAGACATGTTTCCCGTGGTCTACTTCAAAGCAGAAGTCAACACTAATTAGGGATGTTCTGTTCATGTTATTCATGTTCTGAGGAATCGTGAGATATGCAACACTTTATTATAGGGTCCAATTCTCAGTTTGTTGGCAATCTCATCCACACAGTTGGTGGCACATTTTCAGAGCACTGTCCGAGAGTTGTGCGAGTGTTATCTTACCGCGTCGTCCTTCTTGAGGAGGGACAGCATGCAGGTGAGTATGTGAGCACACATGACGAGATCTCGCTGCTCCTGAAGGTGAGCCTGGAGCAAACGCAATACCACTGGGAGCAGAATACATCTAGACTCTGATACAAACACACAAACATTGAACAAACAGCCTCTAATATTAGGCATAGCAATCTTCATCATCATCCTCAAGTGAGCGTGTTTACCAGGGTTGATGTAGATTTGGCTCTCTACGGTTTTCGTGATGCAGTGCAGCTTGACGGCCTCTAGGGGACAGTCTGCCTGAGAGGCGGTGGGGAGGCTGCCCAATGTCTCCCGTACAAACGCAGCCACTTCCCTGACCGTAAAGAGCTTCAACAACTCCCCGTACACCGCCGGGAATTGCTGCAGAAACACCGCCTGTGAATTCAAGTGCACAAACAAATCACCAATTGATCACATGGAAAAATAAACGGAATATGGGAAAACAAAACTGTAACTTTAAATGCACATACTACATGAAAACTACCAGTGATAAAAAAAGTAAAAAAAAAAAAAAAAAAAAGTTTGTGAATAAGTAAAAACTAACAGCAACAGTAACATGGGAAAAAAATCAAAAGTTGCAAATATCAAAAATAAAAATAGCAAATAAACAACTAACCTGCCACTATATTACAAACTACAAGCCACAACCAAAAGCTACCAGTGAAAATGTACAAAAAACCTACATGCAAATATAATGTGCAATACAATGATGAAAACCAGTGAAAAGCATATTTAAATAAAATACAAAACATAATTTTAAGTACAAGAATTAGACAGCAACTATAATGCGACTACAACACAAATGGTTACCTATAAAAAAAGGCAAGTATGTAAAAAAATTAAATTACAACGTAAATATCGTCCGTTTCAACCGCCTTGCATACACTGACTGCGACACGTCTGTCTTCGTGAACGTTTTTACCACTAACCCACGGCCTATGAAGGAATCTCAAAAACAAGAAGAACATGGCCTGAAGACTGAAGAGAACAGGGTCAACCCTCAACACATAATCCTGCTGTGAGGGGCCAGTGTGGAGCTTCATAGAGGGACTGGGGGGATTATGGGGGATTAGAACAGCTCTGGCCTGCATTCTAGCACTGCCTTTGTTCTGCTCTCCATGAAGATTAAAACCTCCAAACGGCAGTCAGTCCAACACAGGGTCATGAATCGTGTGAGGTGAATATATATCTATAGACATATTCTGCAGTATAATACCCTATTGAGTTGTATTAACTATTCATTTAGAGACAATCCAGAGTGTTAAATGATACTAGTCTTAGATTTAGCCTATGGATCTCTCACCATCTCTAATGCATACTGCACACCTAGTTAAAGTGCCCCAATTATGCTATTTTAAAGGTTTCTAATTTTGTGTTGGAGGTCTCCTTCAATAGGTTTACATGCATCCAAGGTAAAAAAAAAAACTTTAATTTTCTCACAATACACACTGAAAACTCACCTCTTTTCTCAAAGAGAAAAACATTTGAAACTATTTGATAAAGGATTCAGTCTATCTAAACTCCTCCTTTCCAAAAGGGCTACTCTGCTCTGAAATGGCCCAGTCTGTTGTTATTGGTCTTCCACTTACAGTGCGTGTCAGAAACGAAACCTTGCCAGGTTTGGTCAAGCAAGTCTGAGAAAGATTTATCACCGGATTTGTCAAACTTTGTAAGGTTAATGATATCAAACTATACTTTTATTCTAAATTAGTAAAAGTATACTGAAATATTTAAGGTAGCTACAAGCAAGTAAACTAGACATGCATGAGCAGAACTGTATTTTACACTGAAATAATCAGCACTTAATACTTTTAAATCAGCAGAACTTCTGCTCACACACATTACCATCAAATTCTTTGGCAAAATAGCAGACGGTTGCGACTGACACTGCAGTATAAGTTCACTTTTTTTTCCACATCGCTGTTATATCAAATAACAAAACAAACATTGACTGGTTGCTTTACACATCTTCTAAATAATAATATTTCTGTTGTAAGTGCACTAGTCTTGGTCAGGAAAAGCTGCCAAGTGGGCCAGTTTGAAAGCTGACATTTGACATTTTGAAAGCTGGATTTGCAACCAAAACGTGCAATACATGTCCCATCACTGATGATGTGGAAAAAAAGACCAGTTCTGTCTGTTTTTCCCACTTCCCTATTATCTAGAGTCTTCCCTAGAGATTCTTATAATCTTGTTGCACCTTCATTATCTCACTTTTTTTCCATCTTACTTCATTCTTTTCATCCTTATCCTCTATATTCATTTAAAATGTTTCTTTCTCTCATTAAATCCCAAAGCAATCCTTTCTTTGGACGTACTGGTCTTTCTCTTTCAAAGGGTGTGCATGGGCTGCCGTCCACAGTCTGAACATCAAAACAAACTCACACTAAAGCTCGAACAAAAGCCAGAGTGACGGGCAATAGAACACGCTCTCGCATTCAGCTCAGGGAAGTCGGAAATATTTGCGGGAGACTTCAAATGCTTTGCCTGAATTTAGGGGGGAGCATTCAAAACCACCTGTGTACGACATTCTCCATGAAATATGAATGATCCAACTTTAAAGGGTGAAATGTCTGTCAAAATCTTCCTTCCCCTCGCACTTTGTAGCAAATATTTCCCTCCCGGGTCGAAAAGACGCCCTAAAATTATACTCTTTTTTTTTTCTTTTTTTTTTCAGAAAGCTTATCTCATTTCATTTTGATAATATATTTTTCTATTTTTAAATGCATTTTTTTTTTTGCTCTGCATTGAAAATGTGTTCATATCTAACCACTTCATATCTGTGTGCAGTCTGCATAGTGACTGACTGATTTTTATTTGAAAAAATTGAGAGAGAAAAAAACACTTTTAATGGGAATTCCTAGGTGTGTGTGTGTGTGTGTGTGTGTGTGTGTGTGTGTGTGTGTGTGTGTGTGTGTGTGTGTGTGTGTGTGTGTGTGTGTGTGTGTGTGTGTGTGCGCATGTGAGTGTGTTTTGCATTGGGCATGTTCTATAGTCTCATGCCTTCATTTGTGTGTGTTTGTTCTGGATTATGCCAGATTTTGTATATATTTTTTGACAAATAAAAAAACAAATCCTCACATTCCATTCATTCCTATGGGGACCATATCAATGTTTTTTTTTTTTTTCTATTTCAAGTTCAAGTGTGACAAAAGTCCTAAGGTATTGCACCACTCAGACGAACACCCAATTAAAAAAAATTTAAAAATTGTGTTAAAATTATTTTCAGGTCAAGATGACCCGAGGGAAGGATGTGGGTTTAAAGGCATTTCTCTAGCAAATAAATGCTTAATACAGCAAAATGGCCTTCTAAGCACCTCATGATTTAAGAAGATGCTTCAGACGTGAGACTAAAATTACCGGCTCTAGAGACCAGAATAATGGCCAAAAGATAAAATGTTTAAGAATGATCTCAGATTTTTTATGCTAAACCAGGGGTTCCCAGACTTTTTCATTCTAGGACCCATCTAGACAAGTATATCTCAAGACCCACATTCAGCCAGTATATTTTAGTAGAGAGAATAAAAATAATGTTTTTTTTTAGTTTTTTTTTAATAAAAGTAATAAAAAAAATAAAAAATAAAAAAAAAAGATAATTAAAAATATTTTATTTTTTATTCAATTATACAATTATTTTATTTCATTATTGTTATGAATCGGTGGAAGGTTATACAATTATTTTATTTCATTATTGTTATGAATCGGTGGAAGGTTATAAAATTATTTTATTTCATTATTGTTATGAATCGGTGGAAGGTTATAAAATTATTTTATTTCATTATTGTTATGAATCGGTGGAAGGTTATAAAATTATTTTATTTCATTATTGTTATGTATCGGTGGAAGAAAAGAATGAGGAATGTTGCGTGCTAAACTCAAACCTGTGTCACCCACATGAGCACCACAGCATGTTAAGAACCATGGCTCAACTATACAATTTAAATAGTTTCTCGATATAAACAGATCGCATTCTCTCTCACCTGTGTCTGTGTGATGGGCCGCGAGCCCTTGTTCTCCTGCGAGAGGAAGAAGCGGATGGACATGAAAAGCTCATGCATACAGCAGCGGAACTCCTCCTCGCTCTGTCCGCCTGTGGCGAGGGCAAACAGCCGGCGCGATTGGATAATATACTTAAAAATATACTCCGTCGCCTAGGAAACCAAAAGAACAGCAGATCTGAGCACAGAACGCAACATAAAAGCAGTGTATTTAAGAATGCATGGGCTGTATGAACTAATGTGATGTGGAAGTCGTAGCGATGACCCGGAGCTAACCAATCCTGAGAAATTGAATATTCAGTACATTATGAATATAAATTGTATTTGTGGTTGCACAAAATCAGGAGATGGAGGACAGTAACGACAGACTCGAAATATCATTATGAAAAGCAGAGAGCGAGAAAAGACGTGTAGTCTGAAGTAGAGAAGGATTTTGCAAGGGCTCTCACCTTTAGCACCTGTTGGATGTGTTCCTGACGGTCCGCTTCAATAATGCGGTCTACGTACCACTTCAACACCTTGATCAGATCCCTGGCAGAAACACAAAATTGTGTAAAACTAACCATCTACAGTACATAAATCTGTTTGTTTGGTATAATTGAAAGCATTTATGGAGAGATCCATAATGGAAACCAATCTGACCTTTTTCTGAATAGGATTTATTGTGCTATTGGCAAATTAACTACTGTACTAGGTCTATAACAACTGTTTTTTTTTTTGCCATTTTTATGGATAAAAAAAAGAAAGTGGTGGCAGAAAATGATTGCAAGCAGAAGTAGGGTGCAATGCCCAAATGTTGCAATCAGGATTCAAACTGGCATTGTCTGTATGAGCACCGCAGCTCAGTGCAACCACTAAGCCATGGGTCTGACAAGCATCAATCGTGTTTTGTGTCTTTTTTTCAAAGCATTAGCATTCTAGACAAGCACTTGGCTTAATTTTGGATTTCAAATAATTAATAGTACGTATAGGAACACATAAAATGCTATTTTAAGTGATACTGCAGGAAAATAAAATCAAAGTGTATCGCAATAGCTCATGTACTGTAACACATTTAAAAAAAAGTACTGCAATAGAATCATACAGCGGGATCCCTGGTAATTTCCATTGCGATTTCCTAGCATTGCAGTGAGAAGTAGAAAGAAAGTGACGTCCACTGCAGTGGAGCAAATTAGGTGCGAGAAGAAAGATCCTGTGCTGATCTTCTATTGTTCTGCAAGTATGCGGTTACATGCTTTTTCAGAGACTAAAAATCACAACAAAAGGAGAACTGAAAATCAGAACGGAAGAAATTTTAACCGAAAGAGCGTGACGCAACACCTTTGCAGCAGTGAGCAGGAAAACTAGAAATAAAGAGATGCATCTAAAGACCCCATGAAACTGCAGCTTTGTGGTCCATGTCTATTAGCTTTGATGCTAAACTACATAACAAAATGAACTTTTTGCACATAAACATTTTTTTAAATGTAGTCTCATTTTATTTTGTGATCTTATGGCTGTGTTTTATCCTGTCCAGTTTTGAAGTTAATTGGTCGCGGAATATGCATATTGGACAACTGTGTAGGCTGTAATGTTGGCTGATCTCTAACCCAGATGAATGAACATGCAGTAAAATTGAGTGTTTATCGAGTGAAGAATCAGCGCTGTACTGGTTGAGGATTCAAGAGAGCTGTGAACAAAAGTCCTGTTTTCTGTGTGTGGACAAAAACACACTATACAATGACCCTAAAAAAGTATTTGGGCACTTCAGCCACATTTATCAAATATCTTACATAACATAACAAAATATCAAACCAAGTGGCATTTGTTTAAAAGAAAAACAGCACAAGCACACTTCACAAGCATTTCACAAAAACATATGTGAAATTTTCACATTTTAAGTGTATTTACATAAATCTATGTTTCAATTTCACATCAATGGCTCTTATTCGGCCATCCTGACCAGTGTGCATTACAAGTAACATGCATTGAGTAATCAGATAACCTTTTAAATTCTGTTTAATTAACTCTTTCGCCGCCATTGATGGAATTTTCCCGGCTTTCCATTTTTTACTGTTATATAGTAGGGGGCGCTATTACGCATCTTCTGAAAGCGTACTGAATATCCAGATCAGAAGGAGCGGAAACAAGCGATAAAAGCATTGCTTATGCACATTGTAGTCTTTGATTTTTTTTTATTTTTTTTTTCTCAGCTTTTTGTTTAAAATGTTGCTTCTTTTTTTCTTTTTTTTTTACTTGCCCACATTCAAGTGTTGATAAAAAAGCATGCATGAAGCTAGAATAAAACACATTTTTCTTTCTTTTGATACAGTGAATTGAATGTTCAGATATCCATACAACAAAATATTCTGGGGGCCATGAAATGTTTGTGAAAATTATCAAAAATGCTGGCAGTGGCTGGCAACTTATAAAAAACAGTGGTGGGGAAATAGTTAATTTGCTTAGACATTTTTTGAATACATTCTACTGTATTAAAATTCTCTCTCTTCTCCATAAAAAGTACAAAATAAACGAACACATTACATTCAATAAAAAGAGTTGTACAGTAGGTAATATAACCCATAATGTTAAGAGATCTTTTGTATGGCATACATAGCTTTAGGCGATCAGGAAATATTCTAAGTAGACAGAATGTAATAATACTCTAAAAGTGCTTTTTAAAAGAAAATGAAGGTGTATGTTATATTGACTTAATGAATGCACTGCTAAGTAACATAAGTAGTTACTTTTTCTAGGGAGTTACACAATATTGTAACACATTACTTTTAAATGTAACTTTCCCCAACATTGATCCTGACAGATTAATGCTTCAAATTCCTGGACAGAGAGAAACACTGAGTGTTTAATGTACCTGTATGACAGGGCTCCTGCAAAGTGGCCTTCAATGTAGGTGTCCATGACTGGTTTAAAATGCTGGAACTTGCTATCCTGGAGCAAGTTTATAATGTGCACCTAAAATACAAAAATGCATATGGACAATAAGCAAAATGTAATTTCATTGCCCTGTATTGTGCCAGAAATTAAGGTCTTTACCTACCAGAGAATCAAACACCTTAAGTGCATATTTCTGTGAGCTCTCGTCCAAAATGCCGAAAAGCGTGTCCAGTGTATCCTGTAAAAACTGATAAAAGATAGTTGACTGTATTAGTAAAGTGCACCAATTAGGGCAAAGGTTACTATGATTGACATGTTCATTAACCAACTCTGAAGTGCAGCTGACCTTAACTATTTCTGAGCCATCGATCTCTTTGAGTTTAGAAAGGCTGTCACTGATTCTCTCCGGATGGGCTCTCCACTTCAGTAAGTCCAGCATGTCACCTGCAGGTAAAATTATTATTGTTATGACATGCCTTTTTTATTTTGTCAGGAAACAGACTTTGCCAAACCCTGCTTGCAACTGCCCAAATATTCCCATGTTCTGTGATGCATCAGGTTGGTCGTTGCTACATATCAGCTGTATATCAGCTATTATGCCAAGAAAACTTCCAAATAGGGAATAACAAAGTATCCCGTATGGCGACACAGACACACACACACACACACACACACACACACACACACACACACACACACACACACACACACACACACACACATTACCATTCTGAGTGAGTTTGGTAGAACAAAGGAATGAAGTGATCCACAGGGATTCCTTAGTGCCTTTCACAGTTTGGTTGTTGCCAGGCAGATTTGATTTCGAGAAGGGCAGTTTGAGGTAGCGAGCACAGTCTTGCAGGTTAGCGTTCTCCTCACACTGTAAAACATGCATGAAAAAAGATACTACTTGAAAAGGCAGCTTGAACATTTTGCAAAGCATCTTCTTTTGTGTTCCACAGAAGGCATAAAGTCATATGGGAATTTTTTTTTTTAAATTACGACATTAGTTTTATTTTTGGGTGAACCATTTCTTTAATTAGCATCATGCAATCGCTCCACATTCAGTCAGCAGTTCTTTTGCCTCCAGCGGAAATGCAAACAGCTGACTTATTTCTTTTTTTATCATTTATCTTACTCAAAGTGCTACACGCAAGTGGTCAGCAGAACAGTGAGCAAATGCACAAAGACTGCATGCTGTACATGACCAGTGAAACTGCACAGCAGTGATCTCTAGTGTGTTGCATTGAGACTTTTGTGTAAACACTGAAACAAACCGCCCTATTTTAGCATGTGTAAATAGGCCACGAGTAGCTCTTAGTGTCTGGGCCCGTAAATATGGACTAAGCCTCTCAAATATTATTTCATATACTAATAAAAGTTATTGCATGTGTTCTACATGGTTAGATTTAAATAGGGCATATAGAAAATGGGATTTGAATTGCTATTTTTAAATAAAAGACAAAATAGACATTACTAAGCTGCAAAAAGGAGCTTTTCAGAATTGTCACAACATTATCATTACTGTATTATCGTTATAATACATGTCTTTTATCCATTCAGAGGCTTCTTGAATGAATTAATGTTTATAACAACCACTAATGGAGTGTGAGCGGTGACAGTACAACATGACACAAATAACAGCTGCACTTTGCGTGTGCATGTGTGTTTGTGACCTCTTTTTAAGCCTGTTAAATGCAGAAACACTTCAACAGTCTGCAATTACCAGAGCTGTGCCCGAAGCATGCTCTTAAATTGGGTGTGCCTCAGGGAAGTGTTCTCCGACACTGTTATTTAACTCTTACACTTTTTAATAAGGAAGCACCTTTTAAATTCAAGGCTTTATTAGGCTCAAAGGAACATGCAGAATGAAATGCATGTCAGCCAGGACAATTTGTCATCTGACATACTGTGGCACTTGAAATTGCATTTGTTGCAGAAAAGTCAACGAGACATTTTGACAGCTGTACCTTATGAACAATGAGCTCGTGGGTGCCGTCGGGCAGAGTCCGCCCGTCTTCCTGCATTAGAGGAACGAATGAGAATCCGAAGAGCTTCTTCTCCCCCTTGTCTTTCGCTGGAGAACACAAACACTGTACATTACATGTCAACTTATTCTTTTAAAACATACTTGATGCTCACTCGGGTCGCCAAATTGAGGACAGGCAATAGGAACAAGCGCAATTGACACTGGAAAGTGACGAGCCTTACACTGTAAGGACACACACACACACACACTCACTCACTCACTCACTCACTCACTCACTCACTCGCTCACTCGCTCACTCGCTCACTCGCCCGCTCACCCACTCATTCAATCACTCGCCCGCTCGCTCACTCACTCACTCACTCACTCACTCACTCACTCACTCACTCACTCACTCACTCGCTCACTCGCTCGCTCGCTCGCTCGCTCACTCACTCACTTACTCACTCACTCGCTCGCCCGCTCACCCACTCATTCAATCACTCGCCCGCTCGCTCGCTCGCTCACTCACTCACTCACTCACTCACTCACTCACTCGCTCACTTGCTCGCTCGCCCGCCCACCCACTCATTCGCTCACTCATTCGCTCACTCATTCGCTCACTCATTCGCTCACTCATTCGCTCACTCACTCACTCACTCACTCACTCACTCACTCACTCACTCACTCACTCACTCACTCACTCACTCACTCACTCACTCACTCACTCACTCACTCACTCACTCACTCGCCCACTCGCTCACTCGCTCAATAGCTCGGCTCTAGTATATTCTGAATAAGAACCAACTCTTGATTCTAAACCCTACACCAAAACCAGCATAAACCAGTCTGGACCAGAATGGAAAGACATACTGGTCTATCAGCAGGGAAGATCAATAGATTTCTTGCAGATGATTTGAGGTGTATTGGTGTGCAGGAAGTCAATACATCTGATGAATAAAGGACTGACTCAAGCACATATCTCTATTCTTAACTTGGATATATTTGCATCAAAAATGTCCCATATTTATCAAAAATACCCCTTGGTGATTATACTTGCCCATTTTAAGGGCCCATTAGTGATCTGACTCACACAGTTCAGTGTTATTCTCCTGCACTTTCATTATTCATTTGAAATTCAGCTAATTTAACTTCCTCCCTCAAGCTCTGCATCTACTAAGCGTGGGAAATACCATCTTGTCTCAGTCTTATGTATTATGTGAATATTAAAAGCATCATAAACTGAGGAACAAAAAGAACAATGTCTTTTTTCAGCAGTGTCGGACTTACTGGAGCAGTGGCGGAACTCGAAGCGGACGTGAGAGCCGCGGAACATGTCGACGGGGATGGGAAGCTTGATTAGCTCTGCCCATCGCGGGCTGTTGTTGTGGTAAAGCACGAAAGTGTGATACTCGTCTCCGCCCGGCTCACCCGAACCCACGGCCACAAACCCCTGCAGAGAGAGAGAGAGAGAGAGAGAGAGAGAGAGAGAGAGAGAGAGAGAGAGAGAGAGAGAGAGAGAGAGAGAGAGAGAGAGAGAGAGAGAGAGAGAGACAACAGACACGGAGTGAGTGAAGATACGGAAAACCACAGACCTCTCACCTCTCCACCTCGATGGCTGTGTGTGTGAAAACAATCTATGTCAGACTTTGATCAGCTTTTCACTTTATATTACCTGGTATCCAATATCATGTCTATTTATATGTAATCAAGTAGAACAAGGAACATTTATCAGTCTAAAAACCTTGAGAATCTGTCCATCGACGTCCAGCGCGTAGGCGGTGACTTCCACGTTTCTCGCCACGCTCTTCCCTCCCTTCTCAAACTCGCCCTTCTCCAGTGTGATGTATAGATCATTTCGCATATCACCTTTAGGAAAAGAAAAGAAAGAACAGTTTTATGTTGCCATGAACGCAAAAAAAACTGGAACACCAGAAATCCATCCAAAAAAAATTCAGAAGATTCTCAGTAATCTACAGAAACCTTGTGTCTCCATATTTCAGCTTTTTTTCCCCGTAAATCATTACTATTGGTCAGTCTTTACATCTGTACTTGGGATATGAACATTACTAACCAATGAAAAGTATTACAAAAAAAACCATGTGACTAAACCTCGTATCTCCATTGGATCCTCAAACTGTCAGTTAAACCTCATAACTCCACCCGCCTCTATTGTGAATGAAGTGCCGCACACAGTTTGGACTGTCTCTGCTTGTTTGTAATGCAAGGGTAAATAAAGAACTGGTTCTTTCAACAAGTACAGCATTTTCTTTACTCAAGAAACACTATATATATCTAATGACGTACAAAACACGCATTTTCGAAATTCTCTGTCCAAAAACTTTGTAACTCCGTTTGAGCTTGATTTTGGAAAAAAGTTGCAGTTTTGGACACACAAGGATTTCGCCCGACAGCGATGGCTTATATCATTTTTTATAAAAAGTTAAGACAGTTTTTCTAGAGTAACTCTGGGTTAAAGGCTTCGATCAGTGACTCTCAGTTTCACTTTAACTGGGTTCAAACCTGCAACTGCAACATCAAGATTTGCGCCAAGAGTGCATTTTCAGCATGGATTTTCAATTTTAAAATGAAACAATGTGTCCCAATGGATGCCTTCACACAGATTGAATGACTTTTTACCATGTACATTGATTTAATGTTGTTTGCTCAGCAGAAAAACCCACAGACCAATAAGCTTTTTCTCATGTTTCTGGAACTCGAATTGATCCTGAAATGGAAATGCTCTCTTTGACATCAATTGAATAGAAATGCAAAAGCACTTCTCTCCTCAACAAGCAACATGATTTGAGGTATCATTCGTGTCGTAGCACAATTGGTGCAGGTTTAATATGACACCTTTTCCCCCGGTTTCACATACAAGGCTTAAGATAGTCCAAGACTAAAATGCATGTTTGAGATGTTTTAACTGAAAGCAACTTGCACTGACATATCCATCTTAAAATATGTCAGTGCTTTGTTTTGTCTGATGCACACCAGTAATGTTTTTTTTTTCTAAAAGCTACTGAAATGTCCAAATCCTGGCTTAATCTAAGCCCTGTCTGTGAAACTAGGCCTGGGTGTTTGTGGAAAAGCACCACAGACTAATGATAAAACATGGAAAGTGTCATCTTATTATGACACAGGAGCACAACTACACTCATATGAAGTTCATCCCTCCCAAACGTCCTCAGCAGGTGCATCCTGCGACTCGTGGATAACACTGCTAATGAATGATTACCAAAAGCACATATTCTCTATCACACAGGAAATGCAACTACATATTTGCACCTTGTCATTTGTCATCGACCGTCTGTGCCTCAACACCCACATGTGCACGCACATTTTCACATTTGTAGAAAGGCAAATGTTACGGCCAACAGTAGGTCACAACCACATTTCATGATGTACCAGTTCTTATTCGCCCATGTAGAGGAAACAAGAACAAGTACATTTCCTGAGACTCTGTTGGATTATTTTGTGGACCTCAACTATAGAAAAGGTGCATGATTTGCCCCCGGCAGCATGGTTTGAAAATGCACTGTGAACTGTGGGACACATTTTAAAGCATTGCAGCTTTTGCAAATAAAGGGGACAAGAGCTTCCGCCACCTAAACCACCAAGCGGAGGAAGTCTGGGTTCCTGTGCGTGTGTGTGTGTTTGCGTGTGTGTGCGTGTAATGCAATTAAGTGTATGCAGTCCTACTTCAAGACACAAATTCAAACCAGTAGTCATGCCAACTAATGTCCATATGACAGTTGCTGTGGCAACAATCAGATATATAAAAAAATCACAGTGAGTTTCCTGGAAGATCAGAAACAGAACTGGTGAATGAGAATGACCTGGAATATGCACAACCACACACACACACACACACGCGCGCGCACGCTGAAAAAAGAGGGAAGATCAGCCTACAGCAAAGGACTAATAATAAATCCGGCAACCATAAGGCACAGTTACTGCCAGTGACGGCACATTCATCCAGGAGACAGGCTGCTTGTACAACCAAAACATCTGGGTCAGTTGTGGAAAGACGGAGAGTGAAAATAGTCTCAGACACATACAGACTGCCTGATGCATGCTGCACAAAACACAGCAAGAGCTTCTCAAACCTGCAAGCTATAATCTGATTGGTTGGCTTTGTGCAATTTCTGAGAGTCAAGGTGTGTTGGATTTTATCAGTCTGACAAGAAAAGTCACGTTTGTCAAAGTACTACGCATGCCAAGAAGAGCAAATCAGCAGGCAGGCTAACGTTTGTAGCAAATATTTGAGATTTGTCGCAACACAGCCTTTCTAGAATACAATGACTGTAAGTAAATGAGTTATTGTTTTATTTTCACCTGGCATGATGACATCAGAGAAGCCCAGTTTTTTGGTTATGGACACTCCTCTGGTGAAAAGGACCATATATTCTCTCCGCAGCTGTTCAATGTCGCCGTGCAGCAACTGGAGCGCCACCGCCAGACCTGGATTGAACACACACATCAAATATTCATATTTATTCTTAAACAAAGAGAGCATAGAATGAGATAATTACAGATGACAATTCACAGCTTTCTCAAATCACTTAATGAATGGACCTTCACCCAACAGACTGGCACTGAGAAAACTTCACTCCTGCACATAATGAATATTCACAGGTATTCACTGAAGAGGACATGATGAATATTCATTAGAAAGCTCTGGATATAATAATCCTCCCACATTCTGCTCTCTCAGTTTGACAGGATGTGATGGTAAATGTCAATTTTGTGTATTTTTTTGAACAGAAGTTCTGCTTTTGTGACAATTGTATTGTGAAAGTTATGTGATGTACTGTAAAAACACACTATCAGTCCAGAATCTGCTTTCTGTCACACTTCTAACCACATGAAACAGAAATCGATACATATCGCTATCATCGTATCATCATCTCACAAGTCATTTCCAACCACCTTCAACCTATTTTCCTAATTTTCCAAAAGATTACCTGACTCCTCTGCCCAGTTTAGCGTTTTGCTGAGCTTTGGAGAACTAGACGCCTTAGGATGGAAAACAACCTAATAGCCCATCGGTACATGACAGTACAATGATTAAGCAAACACGTATCAGGCTCTGTGCTATTGCAGCTCTTAATGATGTTCTGAAGAAGTGCCGAGGTTGATCATGAACTGTCTGGCACATATTCAATGGCAATGGCTTTATGCTGTATAATCGCTGTTTGATGGCACAGGGTCAGAGAAGTGCTGTTGGAGAATTATTCAATTACTGAGCTCGCACAAAGTCTCCATTAATCACACAGACATATTCAGATCGTGTACATGGGAATTGAGCCAAACTAAACCTACCCAAATAGAAATGTTACATAGCCAGCACACACTTTGCAGCGATTAGAAGACTATGATTAATAAAACTTTCCATGCAAATAATTTACATCTGAATGCATACTCACAATATAAGCAAGATTAATTTATGGGTGTCAAGGTTAAACATAAAACGAATGCAAATTTTTAAATAAAATAAAACAAAATAATACAATAAAATAATAAAAAAGGAGTTTGAAAAGCACTAGACACTATATATTTACTGATCTCTAATGTAACATTGCGGCTTAATTATAGTCCGATTATAGTTTCATTCCATTATCATAATCACTCTGTTTAAAAAGGTCCTGATAAAGCGGTTTCTTTGTCCTGTTCAGCATAACTGATGTGTTAGAGATTAATAAAAAAAAATTATTTAAAAAAATCCCAGCATGGCTGATGAGTGTGTATCATAGTAAGGATGTGATCTTGTCTCTCCGTGCATGAGCAAGCATTTAACAAACCTTCATTGAATAATTTCATATATTAGAAGAAATCATATCTTCATTGATTCAGATAAAATTTAGCAAGATGGTACTTTTGTGAGCATTATTGTTCATTGTCTGGTGTGCTGAAGAACGTGTGGAATAAATGAAATAATTGATGTATTCCCTGGCTTTGCAGTGTGATTACTCAACATCTAACGGATGTGGAGGTGCAGCGTGCAATTACGAGCTCTTCACAGAAAATGCCGAAATCGCAAAAAAAAAACTACAAATCAACCATCTGGATACTTGTGCTTCTTTATGTGCAAATCATTATTATTTTCCTGCCGAAACGAAATGTATTACCATTTTTGGATAAGCCACCCTGAGGGGCTTTTCATGCGTCTTTAGATCTAAAATTATTAACTTCGAAGTCATCATGCAAATTAGGTTTCTGGGAGAGCCAAGCATCTTTATACCACCGCCAGATATGCTGGCAAACCGCGTACACAAGCATTATGCTGAAAATGGGGTTATTTAATTGAATGGAAAATACACTTTTGAAGGTTTTATTTTCCCTAAAGTCCATTTATGTTTATCAAAGTTTCATGTGCCAAAAACAGTCTTCATTGGGGTTTTCATGACCATTTTCCAGCCTCTCTCTGACATTTAAAGGCTATTTTGTTACTGTACCTTTAAGACTCTTATGTAAATGACCTCTGTTATAATTGGCTAACCTATTTTGTATGTACGTGAGTCCCCAACCAAGTCGCTGGACATTAAATTAGGTGTTGATATGTAACCATGGGCAGTCTTATGTTAATGTGGTTGTAGTTGTGATGTCATAACAATGGTGATTTCTGATCCGTTTATGCAGATTGTTTTCAATAAATGACTTGACTCAATCTCAAGGTTGTGGCAGCTTCATTACCTGTGTTGGAGCCTGAAAGGTTGTATCTGGAGTTGACTTTTTTAATGATGTTGTCGTGAGTTTGACTCCAATCGCTCTCTGTGTTGCAACTGCAAAAAACAAAACAACAGAGGACAATCAGCGTACTGGATTCAATCGCACAGCCACACAGATGTAAAGAACAGCAATCACATTAACAGCCCAAAGGACTGGCCACGAGCCAGCTGATAATGTGTGAGTGTCAACCATCAAAGATCTAGAGCCAAACACATCTGTCTGTGTCTGCCCTCCAGTGCAAAGTAGGCCACACTATTGCATTTGTATTTCAGGCACCCATTCTTTAGATAAAAATCATTATACTTTATAGCATACAAAACACAGAAAATGTCCTCAAATTTGAATGGGGAATAGACAAATCAGCTTATTGGGTCTACGTTACCCCATTGCATATTAAAATATAATATAATGTAATGCAATTCAAAACAAAACACAAAACAAAACAAAATTCTGACTTCTTCAGCAATGTACATGGCTATTTACTGTATGTACAGCTTTATTTATTAATTTACGGTATTTAGGTGTTTCATGCCATCCTCTTAGACTATTTTCCTGTCAAATTCTATTATTTTTAGGCCTGGAAATCAAAATTTCAATTGTAAAATTCCCTTATAACTACAGGGTTTTCATTATTGTAGAAATGAATTGGTAGAACATATTAAAATGATGGTGACGACTCGAGATAATCTCAACCAATCAGGGAAAAAAGTTGGTCTGAATCCAGGAAGTCAGACTTGGCTGTTTTCACTGTCTTTCCGTGTTATATGGTGTGTGTGTGTAGGGTCACTTACGCATAGACCTTCAGCAGGTGGTCTTCTTTGGAGTCAGCAGTGAGGAGATCAGTGATGCTGACCACAGCACAGCCGAACGGACGCCTGTATTGCACATTACATGTGTTCTTCTTCTCTCCTGCACCCATCCTCCCTACACACACGAAACAATCAGCGCTCATCACATGCCTGCAGGGTCTTTGGCATCAGTAATTATTCTGTGGAGACAATATCGGCTTTTACCAATCCTAATGATGTGTACAACAATATACACGTCTTTTCTCAGGTCGCCGCTCCCCAGATCCTGAATAAAACAAACAGAATTTAATCAACACAGATTACTCCGCATGATTAGTCTGGGAGTGATTTAATCTCAACACTCACCACAAAAAGTGTGCATTGTCTCTCGGTCTTCTCGGGAAACTTGGGAAGACCATTTTTATTTAGTTTAACAAAGAACCTTTCACTGCAAAACAAAGAGAGAGCGAGAGAAATACTTTCAGTTTAAACACTGAGTACATTATATACAAATGCAGTTTAAAAACACAAAGAATTCGATTAAAAGAAAAAACACAAAGAATTCGATTTTTAAGGACAATACAGTGTGTAACATTTCTGGAACCCATTCAAAAATTAAAAAAGACAAATTCACTTTGCCTAATATTTACCAGGCATATCTCATACATAAAACAGTTCATCATAACAGATGTTGAACTGTCAATGAAACCAGACAAAACAAAAAAAATTATATATTTATTAATTATAAATATTTCAAGACATTACAATGCAATACCATGTTTTTGTACCATATAAATGTTTAACTATGCACTACAATAATACCATGGTAATACTATGTTCTTTGCATATACAATGGCATTATCATGATCTTGGATATGTACAAATAAAATAAAATTGACGGCATTACCACAGTAATAGCATGTTTTTTTGTTTTTTTTAAAGTACCATGGATTTTAAACATACAAAAACAAAACATGTTTAAATGAACCAAAAAAAACAACACCACACACACACAATTTTCTTTTTAATATAATAACAATGGTAATACAAAGTTTACTGGACAGATACCATGCTAATACTATATATATATTTTTTTTTTTTTGTGGGGGGGGGGGGGGGGGGGGGGGGGTTCGGGACATGTACCATGGTATATACATCTGATACAACCACGGTGTCACAGTACTTTTTTGTAAAAAAAAAGAAAATGGTGTGGTTCCCGAGGTGACACCATCCCCACCATAACATAACCCTATGCTGATCATATCAACATGTTGATCATGACACCATAACCCTAACTTGATCAAGATGCTTTATTTTAAGTAACTCCAGTTCTGCTGTGTTTTTGAATATATGTATCCAGCAAATTAAACCATGAGGGAATCTGCCAGCTGTCAATACAAGGCAATAATGGGACAGACACGTGTCCGTAACCGACCGACCTCATAATCCAGTTACATGACTTTCACAGCTTCATGATAAAAAGAAGAGCGCCGCGGCCCTATAATGTATCCCAACAGGAACAATAGCTGGCAATAGAGATCGAACAAAACTTACGCATACAATCCGCTCCGGAAAATACACGCATTCATACACACACACACTTGTATAAAACCGGCCCTTCACACAAACACCATGTTAATTAACTCAGCACTTTTGCTATCCCAGCGTCCCATCACCAGAGGCAGGAGCACAAAGGCTGTTTTGGCCTTTGACACACAGCTGCAGGGCTGCGATCGCTTTCTGAAGCGGCGTCTGTGGACACTGGGATATTCCTATCTGCAGACAGACATCACACCAGCATTTAAATGACACACAGACGGGCGGCTTTCTTCCACTCTCGCCTGGCACATCACAGAGAATTTGATATTTCCTCCCTTGATGCCAGGGATTTTAACACGACAAGTTCAAATGGGACCCCCACGCCTCCCTCCGGACACGGCTGGATAAATCGACACGGATGGAAACGTGATCCCTGTATGTCTGGCTGGATAAATTAACCACGCCACAAAACGGTCCCATGGGAACGAAGGGGGAGCCGTTACCCAGAAGGCTGTCAATCAGCACTTTGTACACATCCTGTGGCAGAAAAGAGGAGAAACACAGATAGACTCTTTCTCTCCCACATGCTACACACACACACAAAAGCTTCAAACTGTCTAAAGATAACTGAACACAAACAGCAACCTCGTCTTTTTGTAACAGTGCTCGCTGTCCGTGCACCACTAGACAAAATGGGCATAACTGGTAACATGAGCTGCCTAACACCAGGACTGATACTGAATCACTCGACTCAAAGAAATGCTGTGGGATCAGTACAAGTTAAGCTGCATGAAAAATGTATAAATGAAAAAGAAATTAAAAATTAAAAAAAATTAAAAATTCCACATTGACCATGTAAATATACAACCTGGCATAATAAATTATTATCATTATGCTTTATGCATATACTGTATTATTATTATTATTATTTAAATAAAAGCATACATTTACATGTGTAATGAACCCATATAGTTAGTTTGCAAGGATTATGCATCCACAATCATAGTACACCAAAAATAGAATTTCAAAAATTAAACAGTTTGTGATTTTTGACATTTGACAGTGATAATTTTAATTAAAGAAAAATGCCAAAGGATGTAAAAAAAAAAAAAAAAAAAAAAAAGGTTTTAGGTTAATAAAACCCTATTAGGTTAAATATATTAACCAAAAAGTATTAATACACATGTAAAGAAAATATAAGTATGCAAAAACATAGTATATCTCCAAATATATTCATATAGTTTTATTAAATACTCAGAAGTGTGTACTTTCTCCATCAACAGCACATTACATTACAGTGTCAAATATTCAAATTGGGATAGAGCCCCAGTGATCCCCTATTCACTGCAGTTTGATTAAATCCACAGGACCTGTCATCGCTGGACATTGAACAGATTTGAAGCTGCAGGCAGCAGGCTAGTCTGAAAAAAAGTGAGTGCCACCCTTCCATATGGAAACAAAAAAAGACAAATAATTAACTGGAAATCAGCCATCTAAGCAGGTAGGGAAATCGTTGATGGATCAGGGCCACATTAATATTCTCCTTCATGACTATAGACTGATGGAAAAACTCCAATCAATGAATAGAGGGAAACAAACATGGAGACAATGTATGTGAGCAAGCGCCACAGAGCAGCTGTCGAGACGGTTAGAGACTGTAATTATCCATTAGATGATATAAACAGGTACACATACACACACACACACACACACACACACACACACACCATCTGAAGGCTCTCACAGCCTCAACTGCAGGTGTGTTTCCCTGATGAAAACTGTTTATTTGTTTTTCATCTGTCTGGCAGTGGCCGGGACAAACACAGGGTGGAAGCACGCGTAATGAGGTTATGATTGAAGAGCACATCCTGGTTCAGGACACAAATTGGACATTTCTCCACAAAAGGAAGACTTTTCTTTACAACAACGCTCCAAAAACTGCTTCAAATAAATAACTATTAAATCTATTTATCAAAGAATCTTGAAGGAAAAATATCATGGTTTCCACGGAAAATATTAAGCAGCACAACTGTTTTCAACATTAGTAATAATAAGAAATGTTTCTTGAGAAGCAAATCAGCATATTAGAAAGCATTAAACAATCTTACAAACCCCAAACGTTTTAACGGTAGTGTATGAGCTGACAAATCACACAACCGTATAAAGGAATAGTTAGATGCTCACCTGAGCGGTTTGTTCTCTCGACTATCATAGATAAAGAAGAAGACCTCCAGTTCTTCACCCAGGTTCGAGCTCATCAGACTCTTCAAATGGACAAACATGTGATGTGTGCTGACAGGACTCGGAGTTTCTTTCTTCCGGTGCCGATGCTCCATCTATCCATTCCAACACATAGAGATTATTACATGTGATGCAACCATTTTTTAATAGAGCAAGAGAAAAAAAGCATTCGCAATGCATGTAAACACCAAATAAAGCTCTAACTTTGCATTATGTCTTTTTAATACCCAGAAAAGCAGGGAAAGCTGTGCATAACGTAAGCATAAATGCATTGAATATTCCATTGAATTCCAGTAGCTCCATGTTCAAAGCACGGCTCCTTTACAGCCGGCCAAATCTAATTTGCTTCAGTTATTATGCTCCTTTCTTTGCAATGACACCACAGAGAGCAATGTCAAATGCGCGCGCACACACACAAATACACGTGCACGCACATCACTGCACACATGCTCCTTTTAAGTGCACATTCACACCTTTGTTGTGTAACAAACACACTTCTCACTTGGGATTGAGTAGTCGTTGAACCGCACTCAGTGTGAGGACACCGAGGTGTGAACAGGTGTGATGTGAAATATAAAAAGGCCAACGGGACAGTGCGTATGCTCTCTCTGTGATGCTGTGTGTATGCATGAGGACGACATAGATAGACACTAATGAACACACTTTAATTTAAAAACTTATAATACTAATGATGTAACCTTTAAGTATTGCTTACTTAATTAGCATTGGAAGTTTTAAAAGCAATTATTCAAGTAAATAAGCAGTCATTTACAATTAATGTCTCACAAACCATGTTGAAAACAGAATTTATTTTACTTTATTTTAAAGTAGTAGTTCACTTTTTAAAAAACTTTTGCTGATAATTTACTCACCCCCATGTCATCCAAGATGTCCATGTCTTTCTTTCTTCAGTCGAAAAGAAATTAATGTTTTTGATGAAAACATTCCAGGATTTTTCTCCATATAATGGACTTCAATGGTATCCAAACGGTTCAAGGTCTAAATGACCGTTTCAGTTCAGCTTCAAAGGGCTTTAAACGATACCAGACGATGAATAAGGGTCTTATCTAGAGAAACGATCTGTCATTTCAAAAATAAATAAAAAAGTTAAAGTTTTATAGGCACAAATGCTCGCCTTGCGAACTCTCCTGTTCGAACTCGTTCCTCAAAATGAACGAATCTTTTTTCGAGTCATTGACTCGTTCATCAAAATGAATGAATCTTTTTTAGAGTCATTGACTCAAAAAAAGATTCGTTCATTTTGAGGAACGAGTTCGAACAGGAGAGTTCGCAAGGCGAGCATTTGTGCCTATAAAACTTTAACTTTTTTATTAATTTTTGAAATGACAGATCGTTTCGCTAGATAAGACCCTTATTCATCGTCAGGTATCGTTTAAAGCCCTTTGAAGCTGCACTGAAACGGTCATTTAGACCTTGAACCGTTTGGTGCCCAGCAAAGTGCATTATATGGAGAAAAATCTTGGAATGTTTTCATCAAAAACATTCATCTGAAGAAAGAAAGACATGGACATCTTGGATGACATGGGGGTGAGTAAATTATCAGCAAACGTTTTTTTTAAAGTGAACTAATCCTTTAAGGTGACGTAGTTACATTGTAGCCTACTTACTCAAATAAGTACAATGTTTTTTTTGTGTTTTTTTTACAGCTGTAGCTACATTAGTAGTAAAAAATAAAAGTAATCATTCCTATATATATATAAGGTAACGTATTTAGCGAGATGCTAACACGTGAAATAGTTGTATTTTTACAATACATGGTATGTGAAAATGTTAAATACCTCAATTGCATCCACAAATTGGGTTTCGACTGATTGTAAGGTGATGTGTGATTTAAAACAGAAGCATTTAAGTACATTTAAGTCACCATAAAATTGGAAAATATTAAATTTTTATGGAATACTGCAGTATTTATTATAAATGATTTATCAGTGCACATTATTTTTAATTCATGTGCCCTCATAATGTTTAATCTGAATAACTTCCCCCTCACTCTCGCAGCCTCTCGTCTCTGCTGACATGTATACTGACGCGAGGGCGGGGCAACCTGTCAGTCACATGAGATCGACCAATAGCAAAACACAACCATCCAATCAGTTCCCGATGGACAAAAGCCCTGCATTTTTTTTAATTCGAGAAGCCATTTCCCCTCGGATATACGTCACAATAGGGAAGAAAAGACTATCGCAACTTCCCTTTCATGCCAACTTTAATAAATGAAGAAAGACGACCAAAGAGAGCAGCAATTTCTCCTTTACAAGAAATTACATTAACCAAAGCTTTTAATGGGGAATGAATAGGCTAAAAAGATAAAGCACTGGAATTTCAATAAAGACTTTATTTCCCGTTTGGCAGGTCAGGTCAGATTACATTACGGAAGGTTCTAGACTTCTTAAACCGCTTACTTTCACATCAAGGACTCCAAACAAAGACCACCTGTGTTCTGATCAAGCGTGTGTGGGGTAATAATTATCATGAACATTGCATTAAAAAGTGAAAGCAACTATGATTGTCCAATTTATTGTGTATTCATTGTTCCTGGCTAAGTTTTCCCACTTCCAATCTCCCAGTTTCTTTCACACACACACATTTGTGGTAATGTCTAAATCCTCAGGACTAATTAAAGTGTGTGTGGTGAGACTGGGTGACCTGATTCACTCCCACACTATTCATCACAGCACATTGGGTATGTGTCAAAGGTAATGAGCTCCGTCTAAACACACACAGAACGCCATCCTGTTGAGCCTGCTATTCAATCACAGCTAAACTAGACCATCATAGCACAAAATAACCCAAATAAATCAATAACTGTTGCCAAGAACTCATTTACCCCCAACCCCCCAAACCAACCAACCCATTTTAGCTTCGATAGTCATTCATCATAAACACCCGTTCTAATTTTAAATAAAACCTTAAAGATCTTTTAATAAAGCTGTTACAACTTTTGAGATTCGTGTTCAAATAAAAAAAGTTGGGGTCGTCAGCAATTTGCATGTTGCAAACATACACCTTGTGTTTCATCTCACACGCAGCTGATGGCAAAAGTGTGTGTGCCCGCCACATAAACCACATACAGGGTGCGGTAATGGAGTCTGGCAGTGGCGGAGGGTTATTACATTACATTACACAGTATGGGGACATTTCAGGTCACATTTAGCCTAAGTAATGCTCCAATGTGCTTCGCATAGCTCAATTATATCACAGCAGAGACTCCCCGCTGTCAACAACCCCTCCAGCTGGCAACCAGACTTCCACATCCATGACGACTGTAATTTTCTGCGGCGTATCTTGTCAGTGTGTCTCAGAATTACTGTCATTTTCCCCATAGGGCCTGTTACTCGAGCTGATGCTAGAGCGTGAGGCTTTCATCTCGTGCCTCTTACGTTTAATGGAACGGGATTAAGTGGCTAAATCGGGAAACTTTCTGAGGCGATAAACTCTTGAGTCAGGAACGTGGTCGTATGATAACACAGCAAGACAGACGTACCAGTCGATAGAGCTCAGTGACGCTGATTTCATCCGGGTCCACCATGCTGAACTCTCTCCTGGGTACCAGGTCCAAACCCAGCTGCCTGTGAAAGGACGGAAACCGTACAGCATTACCATTACCATTACCAAGCCCGTTCACAGCAAGGACGATAACTATAACAATAACGATAAAGGCCCTGTTTACAGCTGGTATTAAGATGCATTTTGGTCGATTGGACACATTCCTGTTTACTCCTTTGTCCACTTTCAACCACTTATGTCCTGATTTCTTCGAGGGGAGGTTCTATGGGCGGGTAAATGTATGGGCATTTTCAGATCTTTCGATCAACGGACAAAATAAGCTCACGCAATTTACATATGAGCGTGCAAGGAGACGACGGAAAAACATACGGAGAGCTTTCAGCCACAGCTTTTATTTCTGCTCTGAAAGCAGCGAGACCACGACAAACGCAGTGAGTGTTCGAAACCAGGAATGGCGAGAGAACATTGTGCTTGGGTAAGCTCTTCAAACCAAACTTGGGTCTTCAGCCGACAAAGTTTAAATCCAGTCTGGCCAGCACACTTCCCATAATGTTTACACATAAGGTCAGTAGGCGGAGAGTAGACGGTCTGTTCGAACGCATTCGACTACATGAATGTTTACACTATGAAAGCAATCCGGTCGAATCCGTTTTCGACTACCTCTGGAAGTGATAGAGAGCGGACAAGCTCAAAACGTTTTAGTCCCCTTTTAAACCCGTTTAGTGTCATCCACTTGAGATCCAATCAACCAAAATGCATCTTAATTCCAAGTGTAAACAGGGTCAAAGATATAGTTCTAAAAATCTTTCTAAATATAAAAGCATAGCAGAGTCCAGATCACAAATATAACGATAATGCCACAGAGAAACAATATCATTGGAATCACTTTCAGAAGGACTTTTTCCAACTGATGAACAATAAAAACATTGACAGCCAATCAGAATCCATCCTGCTTTAAAGAGCTTGAACATTTAAAAGGCAGACGACAAACCTGCAACACATGCTTATAATAAATGATATTGAGCGTTGGTCATAGGAATACATTATATATAAACTACATCTTAAAATATAATACAGTAGAAAACTCTTATTTTAAATTGTAACAAAAATGTTAAATATTGCTGTTTTACTGTATTTTTTACAGTATTTTATTATTTTTATTGTATGCAGCCTTGGTGAGTATAATAAACTTTAAACAAAATACTCAACACTTTTACAGACCCCAAACTTTTGAACAGTAGGGAAATTAATATTGATTTATAAGTATTCATTAAAATATATTACCTTTTTTTAAATTATGTACAATAAAATTTTGGGGGGAAGTACAGTAAAGTAATAAATTTAAAGTAATTATTTTCTTCATGAAGAATAAAATATAATTCTTTTTTTCACATTTGTGTGAAATATGACTTGAGCATGTTCATGATGGGTGTTTTGAGATTCAACCTGTCGCTTTATTACATCACACAGGTGATGCTGTACTCACTCATTGCCCCAGTCCAGACGGGCCGTGATGTGCTGTTTGACATCCCTCATGCGATCGTGGGTCAGGTGACCCACCAAAACCTGCCGCCTGAGGTCCAAAATTTCATTCATCACGTGCCACAGTCTGTGAAACAGATCTCCTTCGTTTTTCTATTAGGGTAAACAAAAGGAAAGAGCCACTGAAATGTTGAAGTTGAAGCTTTAATAATGGGCTATATTGCTGTAACACTGATATATAATGACCTGGTGTAGAAATAATTCAAATACAGTTTCCCCCGCATCAGCAGCTAAAATACATATAATGTATTCCGCCCATCAGCATCTGTGTACCCAGAGTTCACGTAGGCAGTGTGTGGCTGTGGGCGGACTGCTGTGTTTGCCCAAACAGTATTTACCACAAAGAGCTGCTTCCACATGGCGCCCCAGTCCCTCAGGGTGGACGTCATCTCCGTAATGACAGAGTCTTCAGTCGGCACCACCGTCTCAAACTGCCTGTGAGTCACATGTGGGCGACACACAGCACAACAGATATGAGATACACCTCATCTGGTTCTGCGCTTGTTATACAATACGTTAATCAAAGGAAAAAGCAGATGTATAGTGGAGCGCTGGCGTTTTCCTTCTGTTCACCGTCGCTACATTCATTTAGCATTATGTTCAGGCAGCCCAGTCTCAGATATCCGTACACCAATACATTTTTTTAAAAAGTCAAAAAATCTAGAAAACCAAACTTTGCTTATATTGCATGGATGCAGAATACAAAAGTGGGCAAAACAATAACATTGCCAGATATGTATGAATTGCATGAGTTCTCATAGGTTTGATTGCCATTCACTCTGAATTTAACAAGCTAACACAAAGGATTGCACTCATTGCAGTAATCAAGCTAACATACTGTCAATCTAATGTCACACTGAACGTTTTCTCATTGGAAAATACAAATCATGTCATGTGAAAACGGACAGTTTAGTGGTGCAACAAAAACATCATTGGAATTACTTTTTTTGCAGACTGCAAACGGTTCAGGTGGCTTTATTGCAGTAACGAGCATATGTGTAAATGTGCATGTTTGCACTTTATACAGAGATGCTGGATATCTACGAGTACGCAAATGTTATTAATATCACAGAAACGGCAGATTAACCAAGCTGAATTCTCTGCAATTTGGAGGGTTTGCCATCCTTTCCTTCAACTCACCCTTTATTCTTGATGTGTGCATTCTTTAGATGGATGTAGTTGCATGGGAAAATGCCCTAAAAAGAAAGAGATAAACAAATCAAAATAAAGTGAATAAGCCTACTAATAATCAAGGGAACAAAAAGACAGAAATAAAGAGAGAGACTGGCTTTGATCCGTGCGTTTCGCTGTGGTATTTCAGCAACTGAAAATAGCACCCGACACTGACAGACCTGATAAAAGACAAAGAGGCAGCTGCTTACCTTGGCATTCGGGTTCTTGAGGATGAATCCTCTGTACCAACCTGAAACACAAAACATGTCTGTGACTTTCATCTTTAATATCGGCCTAATGTGTCTTGACTGAAGCCTTTTCAAAGGACGTTATCTAACAAAACACAGTAGGTAATGTTGAAATGTTCTCTTAGAAAGAGAGGACAAATGTATGTGCAAATGCAGTGAAAATAACATAAAAAAATCCTATTTCCACTGAAAGTCCAATCATATTCTGTAGCACTGAATACGGTATCTATAGAAACAAATTGGCAATTGTAGCATTTGTTTTGCTGAAGATGTACCATGTACAATAAACACAACTCTAAACATGCTTTACTATCACATAATGTAGGAACTTGGTGGCATATTTTATTTTATTTACTCAACTGAACTTAGTCTCATTTTAAGACCGTTTGTAGATCGTTTGGTTTGTTCCAAAACAGCTTTTTAAAATTGTAACAATGTTGCTTGTAACAATTTGTTAATACAAGTCACATGAAAGTAAACTGTCCTCTCATTGGTCAGAGTGCACCGGACCGGTTTTTGTTTCCATTCATAGATCAGAAGATTAAAGCCTATATTTTTTAGATGCTCCCTAAACACCTGTATTTGTATGTGTTTTTGACCGTTGTTATGAAAAAAATGTTAATCGGCCCAAATTTCAATTAAGCATTTAACTTTGTCTTTTAAATCTGGTTGCATCATGCACAAAGGGAACAATTTTACAGCAAGTACTGACATGCACAGTACTGACGTACAAAGTACTGAAGTAATCGGTCATAATCATCCTGATTTAAAATCCTAAATATTAAACATGTTTGATATTATCGGGTTGGCCCTGATGTGCTCACAGACTAATCGGGGCCAACCCGATAATATCAAACATTGTTTGATCTGTAAGCGACTCGCATTGATAATCTGATCCGAGCATCGTAACCGCCCAAGGTACTGGGCAATATAATTCTCAGATTGTTGGGAAGGGTAAATTGGGGATAAATCGGGCTAAACTACTGTAGTCTGAGACTGGCTTTATAAAAAAAGGTTCAATGTGGTTCTAAATAAAACCCAGGGGTTCTTGATTCAATTTTAAAGAATTTTTAGGTGTTCAAAGAACCCTTTAGGCCAAAAGATTCATATAAGGAGAAATGTATTAAATGATTGCATAATACGTTCATGTTTAACAGGTTATTCTGTGCTCAATTCATAAAATTTAATTAGAATTAAAAATGAATTAAAACAAAAATAATTAATCATAATTAAATCCATAAAATGATCCCATGATGGGAAGCCCTAAAAGGTTCTATATGAAGTGCCAGACAGAACCTTTAAAGTCACCCGTGAACCAGAAGTTGCAACCGACTTTTCTCCAGTGTTCTGACGTATTTTCAAGTGAAACGGAATCAGTCGAAATATTGAATAGAAAAACGGAAATATTGAATGAACTTTAGTGCACCTCCTCTCCATCCCTCGCCCATAAAAAACTGGGCGGTTGGGGGGGGTTAAGGATTTAACCCAAGCCGTTAAACTGACTTCATCGGAGAAGGAACGCGATTCCAGAGCGGATGCAAGTGGTCAGATTATGATTAAAGATTACCACGGCAAACAAAAAAATTTCTGTTTATTAATTTGCACGGATTAATTGTTCACCACAAGACTAGTAATGTGCGCTAACAAAGTAAATAGGGTAAGTTTTTATTCCATGACGACTTTAAAATTCTATATAGAACCTTTACTTTTAAAGGGATACTCCACTTTTTTTGGAAATAGGCTCATTTTACAACTCCCCCAGAGTTAAACTGTTGAGTTTTACCGTTTTTCAATCCATTCAGCCGATCTCCGGTTCTGGCGAAACTATAAAACTATACTCTCATTCCTGCGTAATAATCAAGAAACTTTACTGCCGTACCATGAGTGCAGCAGGCGCAGGCACTTAGTCCCGGTCACATTGGAAGTTACCGAGCTGGGAACTATTTTCAGGCGCTGCGTCATATCATTACGCCTGCTGCTCTCATGGTACGGCAGTAAAGTTTCTTGATTATTATGCAGGAATGAGAGTATAGTTCCTAGCCATATCAGCCTAGAAAATCGCAACTTTACATTTTCCGTCGGTCTTAGTGCACGATGTAACTACAGAAGAGTCAAGTTGTAAATAGGAAAAATATCGAAACACTTTGGTCATTTATTTTTGAGAAATGCTAATGGTCTTGTCCACTTCAATGATGTATGCTAAGCTATGCTAAAAGTGGTAACGCCAGAACCGGAGATCGGCTGAATGGATTCAAAAACGGTAAAACTCAACAGTTTAACTCTGGGGGAGTTGTAAAATGAGCCTATTTCCAAAAAAAGTGGAGTATCCCTTTAAGAGTGTATTGAGACTAGGCAATGATTTGACCAATAAGTTACTTTCAACATCAGCTTCACTTAGACTCACTGACGGCCTGCACTACCACTGTTATCTAATCATCTCCAGCACAGATGAACCTTCTGCCCACTGCAAACCAGCACACAGACTACTGTGCTTCCTGGCAAAAAGCCGAGAAGCACAGTTCGAAGGTGTGAAAAACAGGGGCCTGCATCACCTCTGCACTTACGGTAAAGAGTGTAATAGCTGCTAAATACAGAAACACGACCCCTCATCTGATAATTAACACCTACAGTCAGTCAGGAACTAATGATTATGTAGGTTCATATCTACTGTTTAAGATTCTCCAACACAATGTTACTGGGTGTTCTCCAACCGAAACCGGTTTTCTTACTCAAAAAAACAGGAAACGAGTGCACCCAGAGAACAAAGGAGTGTGTCTTCAAAGGGTGGAAACAGGAAACGAAGGAGTCGAGTGTGGGTCACAAAAAAAGACTGGTTTGAAATCCTCCCGTCTGTGAGGTGGTACAGGTGTCTGTGTCAGCAGTTTATCAAATCAAGACATGGTGAAACACCAACAACCCATGGTGAAAAGACCATCTTAGAATAAAATGACTTACCACGCCAGTTTATTTTGGATTGTTATTGCTGGTTTCTCAATAATTATATTATATTTTTAACTTTGCATACACAAACCCTCTCATATAAATAGATTTGTATGTAGTTCATTGAAGGTCAGTAAACAGTATTTTCAAAAATTGGTTTCATTGCAGTGTTATTTAAGGATACTATTAGAATACAATTACTATAAGTTTAATTTTATTTCAGTTTAACCTTTTACTCTATTTTAGATTAGATTAGTCAAAAATCTAAATAATTGATAGTTTTAGCCCTACTTAGCTTATGAAGACTTTCAACATGCATGGACTTCCTGGTAAAGCTAGTTTGAAAAGGAAGTCCTGCTGGTTAAGTTAATTAAGAAGCCACACCATATACTGGTGACCAACATTATCCTCAGGCAGCCCTGCTGAAATGCAAAAAGAGCCTATACCAGCTAAGCCTGTTTAAATCAGCTTAATTTTCCTGTTAAAACTATCACTGAATTACCAGAATAATGTTTTGGACACTTTCATGTTGGGCAAGTTAGTCTACCTGTGACAATAACCACCTTGTGCAAGTAATAGGACAGCATTGTCCATCTTTACCATTTTGCAATTTAAGCTGGTCCAAACTGGTGTAAACACTGGGGTTTATACCAATGAAATAAATGTAAAAGATGGTTTTGACGACAGTGGCTGGCATCAGCACTCATGTATTCACCTTCACATTTCTCCAGGATCTGGACCGTGTCACCGATCTCCAAAGGCAAGCCATGCTGCACCGTCCCTCGAAAACTGACCAGCACTGCAACACAAAAAATGACAATCATATATAACGATAACTCATCAGTCTTTTCCACTGTCAGTATTGGGGGTAATGCATTACAAGTGACATTTATGTAATCAGATTACTTTTTTTGACGAGTAAAGCAACGCTTAACTTTATATATTTAGACATTAATATTTGAGTTACTTTTTTCTGAACATTACTTGGGCTAGAAGTAACGAACATTATTTTTCAACATTATTACTTTGCTTAAAAATATTTAAAGCTACTGAATTAAAATGTCTTTAAACATGCACACTCACGCATACATCGGAACAGACAAAAATAACAAAAAATAACAAAAACATTACTTTCAGCTAACTTTTCAAGCAATGTACTGTAATAAGTTACTTTTTTAGGGAGAAACAATAGTTTTGTAATGCTTTACTTTTACATTACTTTTTCATTTAGTTTAAAGGTGCAGTAAGCGATTTCTGAGAAACGATGTGTAAAGTGGATCAGATCGAGCAGCAAAACACACTTGTAGCCAATCAGCAGTAGGGGGAGTGTCCACTCATGATAGGGGAGGAGAGAGAGTGAGCCAATCAGCAGTAGGCGGAGTGTCCACTCATGATAGGGGAGGAGAGAGAGTGAGCCAATCAGCAGAAGGGGGAGTGTCCACTCATGATAGGGGAGGAGAGAGAGTGAGCCAATCAGCAGAAGGGGGAGTGTCCACTTGTGATAGGGGAGAGAGAGTGAGCCAATCAGCAGTAGGCGGAGTGTCCACCCCTGATAGGGGAGAGAGAGTGAGCCAATCAGCAGAAGGGGGAGTGTCCACTCATGTTAGGGGAGGAGAGAGAGTGAGCCAATCAGCAGAAGGGGGAGTGTCCACTCATGATAGGGGAGAGAGAGTGAGCCAATCAGCAGTAGGCGGAGTGTCCACTCGTGATAGGGGAGGAGAGAGAGTGAGCCAATCAGCAGAAGGGGGAGTGTCCACTCATGATAGGGGAGAGAGAGTGAGCCAATCAGCAGAAGGGGGAGTGTCCACTCATGTTAGGGGAGGAGAGAGAGTGAGCCAATAAAGCAGAAGGGGGAGTGTCCACTCGTGATAGGGGAGGAGAGAGAGTGAGCCAATCAGCAGTAGGCAGAGTGTCCACTCGTGATAGGGGAGAGAGAGTGAGCCAATCAGCAGTAGGGGGAGTGTCCACTCATGTTAGGGGAGGAGAGAGAGTGAGCCAACCAGCAGTAGGGGGAATGTCCACTCATGTTAGGGGAGGAGAGAGAGTGAGCCAATCAGCAGTAGGGGGAGTGTCCACTCATGATAGGGGAGGAGAGAGAGTGAGCCAATCAGCAGAAGGGGGAGTGTCCACTCATGATAGGGGAGGAGAGAGAGTGAGCCAATCAGCAGTAGGCGGAGTGTCCACTCGTGATAGGGGAGGAGAGAGAGAGCCAATCAGCAGTAGGCGGAGTGTCCACTCGTGATAGGGGAGGAGAGAGAGAGCCAATCAGCAGTAGGGGGAGTTGTCCACTCGTGATAGGGGAGAAGAGAGAGTGAGCCAATCAGCAGTAGGGGGAGTTGTCCACTCGTGATAGGGGAGGAGAGAGAGAGCCAATCAGCAGTAGGGGGAGTTGTCCACTCGTGATAGGGGAGAAGAGAGAGTGAGCCAATCAGCAGTAGGGGGAGTTGTCCACTCGTGATAGGGGAGGAGAGAGAGAGCCAATCAGCAGTAGGGGGAGTGTCCACTCATGATAGGGGAGGAGAGAGAGAGCCAATCAGCAGTAGGGGGAGTTGTCCACTCGTGATAGGGGAGAAGAGAGAGTGAGCCAATCAGCAGTAGGGGGAGTGTCCACTCATAATGGGGGAGGAGAGAGAGTGAGCCAATCAGCAGAAGGGGGAGTGCCCACTCGTGATAGGGGAGGAGAGAGAGTGAGCCAATCAGCAGAAGGGGGAGTGTCCACTCGTGATAGGGGAGGAGAGAGTGAGCCAATCAGCAGTAGGGGGCGTGTCCACTCATGATAGGGGAGGAGAGAGAGTGAGCAAGAGGGAGATTTGAAAAAAAGACTGTAGAAAGAGAGATGGCTGCGAGACTTTACAAAAGAGAAAGATCAGAGGAATATCAGGCAATATCTTTAGGACTCATGTATATATTAGAAAAGGATGCAGAGGCTGTGTTGTTTCTGCTCCATAAGTGAGTAACATTGGTGTTTCTATGTTTCACAGAACCAGAATCGCTGCAGGCGATTAACAACCAACTCTTGCTTGAACTCTATACTGTATGTTCATTTTATTTTCTACCTTGTCGTTCGTCCTTCATCTTCGCTTTTTTTTTCCGTAAAGTATTATTTTGCTTCACTTCAGCTATGATAAAGAGACATCCAATGCATTGCGTTTTCGTGCATTTTGGGTGGCGGAGCAATCAAGGGAGGGGTAGGTTTTTTGGGTTGATTTCAAATATTTGTTTACTGCACCTTTAACTTGATGTACTAAAATAACTAAAACTGAAATAAAAATATAAAAAACTATATAGATATATTTTTAAAACTATTAAAAAAGGACAAAAGGTATCTCAATTACACTTAAATAAAACTGGTGACATGACATTTTAAACCATGTCATGACATTTATATGATGTATTTAATCAAGAGAACTCTGAAGAAAAACAAACAAACAAACTGCTCCATTCCCTTCCATTCATACACATTTGATCAGCAAACCAAAGCTGAAGTTCGGCAAACACTGTGCTGCGTAGTGCAAAGACATTTGATTTATAGAATGTAAACGTCACAGATTTTTGGCTGAATTCAAAGAGCGCACAAACCCAAAAGCTGTCTTTTTTGCAGTGTTGTGGGGTTTGAAGTAATTTCAGATGCTCAAAGCCTAGCGTGACCTCAGCTTAAGCTCATAAGGGCAGGGTTGCCAGATTTGCTCTGAAGTTCAGCACCGTGGGAAGGTTTAATAAAAGTGACGTGTCTCTCTTCCTTAAGCACTCAACAGAGAGACCTGAGGAGACTCGCTTTGATGAGCATGTACGCTAAGAGCCTTTGAAGAAGTTGAGGCTCCCTGAATCAAGAAAAGTAAAGAAATAGAGGAGAAATTAAGAATATGGAGACTAAACGATGGTGAAAGACATGCAAGAAGAAAAGAAGAAGCGACAGACTGGAAAATGATGAAAAAGAAACTGCAGAGAGAAAATAATATATGTCTTGTTATCAGCGTTCCTCACACAAACAGCCACTATGACAGCTCTCAAATCTATTATAATGATGTCATCATTGCCCACTCCACTCACAGGGGATTATGGGATGTGTGTGTGTTAAATCAGGTTATCTCACCTGCCTGACATGATTTGTGGAGTGGATTTCATAGTTTTATGGGACATAGGCCAATCTGGGATATTAACAAAGAGGCTCTGACCCAATTGAGAACCTGTGTGTGTGTGTGTGTGTGTGTGTGTGTGTGTGTGTGTGTGTGTGTGTGTGTGTGTGTGTGTGTGTGTGTGTGTGTGTGTGTGTGTGTGTGTGTGTGTGTGTGTGTGTGTGTGTGTGTGTGTGTGTGTGTGTGTGTGTGTGTGTGTGTGTGTGTGTGTGTGTGTGTGGTAAGACTTTAAAAGATTATTAAAAGTCATCCTAAAAATGCACAGATCACCCAGAAACACTCACAAATTCCCAATCAAATCATTATTGGCAGTCAGTTCAAATCAGTGTAGTCCAACTGATTCCAAAAATAATAACTCATATGAGTTGATTCTTTTTGGTGAATCAAAAACATTCAGTTTGACCAGTGTATTCCAGCGATTCCCAAAAGAATAACTCCCGAGTCGGATCTTGTTAGCGAATCTAAAACATTCAACATGATCATGTAAACTAATCGCCAAATGAGTCTTATAGGTTGGTTGACTTAGTTCTTTTAGTAAATCAAAAGCATAGACCATTGTATATACCAGTGTAACTGATTCCCAAATAAATGAATCCTATGAGTTGATTCTTTTGAGTGAATCAAAAACAAAGGAAATCTAATCTTATGATTGATTGGAATGAGTCTTGATTGGAAGGAGTTTTTGTGTACATGTGTGTGAATCAAAAAAAAGGAACTAAGGGGCCATAATTCCTTACAATTTCAATCCTTAGACATAACAACCACTCAGAATACCCTAGCAACCGCATCACAACACCCTGGCAACCACTGAAGAGGAGTTTTGCACAGACAAGCAGCACTCGTATTTTCCTCTAAAAATGTACAATTGCATTTCACATTTCATACAATTGTAAATATGGTAAACTGATCCCCTAAAATTGTAAAACCTGGATCTGACTGAATATTTTTTTACTCAGAAATGACAAACTAGAACCTAGCTTACCTAACTAGTCCTTGAGTTCAGTGCATCTCATTGAAACACTCATCCAATCACAATCCCAATGTCCAAAATTTCTGTCATCCAAAAAGCTTCACAACCCAAGTTGTCCCTGAGTTTTGAAGGCAGCTGTATCCTATCTGTGTGATTTGACTTTAAAATTTGGAAGGCAAAATAACAAAGTAGGTTCGTTGAATTAATTATACAGGTTTTCGGCAGCAGCTCATTAAATTATTCATCTTGGATGCGGAGTCCTTGACAGAGCTCAAATCCTTCCCCGGTAACCGTACGGCAGCTGATAACTGAGCTGGAGCATCGCCAAAGAGGCTCAAACCTGTGCAGTGACCGAAAAATGCTTTCGGTGGTTTTTAATTACCTGAAGAAAGAAAAAGAACTAGAATGTGAGGGAGAGAGACACCCTTACCTCTCCAAAAAGGCAAACTACCAATTTAAAAAACTTAATGGCAAACATGCTTTCAAAAGTTCAACCACAGTGCTCCCAAAAAGTATTTGGACACACTTAATGTCACTGCATAAAATGCAGATGATTTTCATTGGATGTATGAAGACTTGTTGGCCCCAAACTGATAATTGTCACAGCCATAAATGAGAAAGCAAATTATAGTTCTGCTCATGGATATTTAGTTTCCTTGCAACCAAGTCAAATAAAATAGGATCTTTTTAAAG